ATGGACATGTTAAATATTTAAAGCAGAAGAAAAGGAGATTGTTTTTGCTCATTTTCGACTTTATAATGAATGAAAAAGTATTTGATAATTATATCTAATGCTACATTAACTACAATCATCTGTGAGTGTCAGCAGATTTCACATTTTTACCCCATCCCCCCCCCCCAGGAGGAATACTATGGGAAGCAGTTGATCCTGGCAGACAGGGACATGGTGGAACAGGGAGCTGATGAGATCCTGAAGGACGCAGATGTCACAGATGTAGCCTTCCTGGTGGTGGGCGACCCATTTGGGTAAGTCACATTATCCACGGAATCAGGACCATGGAACCAGAATCCTCCATCGGTCCGACAGATCTGAGGTCTGCTGCGTCAGGATGAAGAAGCTGTGACCGCAGAGTTGATCTCACAGCTGCTCTGGCCCCCATTTCTACGCATTTCTCCCCAAAAACCACCAGATTCCTCAGAGTTAATAACAGAGTGGTGAGCAGTTTGCCTGCAGTGCTCTGCTCAGAAACCCCGACTGCTTTTAGAAGTTATATGAAACGTTTATTTGCATCTGAACATTACTCTGTAATTCAGCTCTTTCATGATTTTCTTTGCTCAGTTCTCAGAAGACCAAACAAAAACTTTACATTTCTGACCATGGATAGTTCCAATAATAAACTTCAGCGTTTTCTCTTTCCAGAGCTACCACTCACAGCGACCTTGTTCTCAGGGCAGTGAATGCTGGGATCCCCTACAAAGTCATCCATAACGCCTCCATCATGAACGCCGTAGGCTGCTGCGGTCTGCAGGTGACTTTGTTTCTTCTGAATAGCAAATGTCGTGGAAGTCCGCCTCCAGGGTGTTAACCATACCTGGAAGAATCAAGGTTTAAACCTAAGAGAAAGAGTTCAGGGTTTTAGTCGTGATTATTGCCATCTTAATGCAAGTGGCCCCCTGGGAGCCACAAGGTTAAGACATCCCATCTGCCGCAGGTCCTGATTAAACTCATTAAACTGTATTAGTGTTATACCACCAAAAGCATCAAATTAATGTAACATCATCAATAGCTGAGCTGTCAAAGCGGCCAATCAGAGAGCAGGACCCAGCTGTCACAGCACGCACATAAACCCAGATTTAATGCTGACACGGTGTCTCCACTGAGATGTTGTTAATATGTTAATGAGGGGCTGAAGATGCTAATGAGCTCTGGTTTCCATCCACTGGGACTGGGTTCAGTCGGCCCCTGCTGTCAGAGCAAAGCCCCTTCATCAGGACCCCTTCAGGATTCAGCTTCTGGACAAAGCTGCAGCAGCAGCTAAAGTCACGGTCATGATACAGAGAATTAGGGATTCTGCTCCTGCTGGAGGGCTATACTGATCCGAATCATTTCATTGCACAAGGAGCTGCTCATAAACCAGAAGACTTTCTCCTCTTTAATTTTTTTTAGCTGTATAACTTCGGAGAGACGGTTTCTGTGGTGTTTTGGACAGAAACATGGAAACCTGAGAGTTTCTATGACAAGATCTGCAAAAACAGAGCGGCTGGACTGCACACGCTCTGCCTTTTAGGTGAGAATCGCACTCGCATAAAACCAGAAAACAAAAATTTTATAGTTACAAATTCTAAAAACTGTGATAATCCATATCAAACTGAATCATCTAGATGAACTTTGCCTCCCTTAGTGTGTTCAGGGAGTCCCCAGGTGTCACTTTCAATCAGTCGGGGCCCCCGAAGGCTCCTAACCCCTTAAAATAACAGTCTGCTGGGAGGTAAATGGCCTGCTGCTGTCTGTGTCATTAATATTCATTAGAAGAAATAAAGGAAAAAGGTAATAAAGAGTCAGACGCTCATCCATCATCTCTACATAAATCATGAATGTCAGGTTGTTTTGTTGCAGACACAAAGCACAACAGCAAATTCTTGCTGGTAGATGTATAGAGAACAAGGGAAGGTTAAAGGACATTATTACAATGTAAGGATACAGCAGTAAATATAGAAAAGCAGTCAGCTAAGCCACTATGTACAGAAGTCTTGGTCCAATTTTTATTGATATTTAGGGGAGTGTTGGGCTAGTGGTTAGAGGAGGGCACTTGTGCTCTGAGAAGGTTGCAAGTACCCAGTTCGATCCCCACACCCTCCACTCTGGGTTCCTGAGCAAAACCCTTAACCCCACACTGCTCCCCGGGCGCCGCACGATGGCAGCCCACTGCTCCCTAAGGGGATGGGTCAAATGCAGAGGTAAATTTCTCCAATGTGAGATCAATAAAGTGCAATTATTATTAAAGGTATAGTGGAGGATGTTCTTTTTCCTGCTGGATCATCAAAATAAGTGGTCCTTCTAATTGTCAATCATACCGGTGATATGTTTACATATGGCCGTCCTACGTGCTTGTCCCCATTTTCACTTACTGGTGGTGAATCTGACATGGCGGAAACATTGCAAATCATTTGGAAAGTAACCTTGTATGAGCAATGCAAACAGCAACATTTAAACGGAGCATGCAGGCTCTCACACGGGTTTCATTCATTCCCTCTCAGGAGCAGGTAGAGGGATGTGCATATGCATTTTGGCGAAGGTTGGTCTTTTCTAAAATTTGCGAAAAATCCTCCACCATAACTTTAAGTTCTCAGTAGGAGGACTGTGTTTATCAGAGGTCTTCCAGGTTTCCTAATGTTTAATATTTATCCTTTGACGTGTGCCATTTCACCGTCAAGTCCTACTGTTTAAATATCTCTGCATGTTTTGTTGAGTCTGCATAAAAAGGTGATCAAGCAGAAAACAAAATAATTAAGAGAAACAGCTAAAGTCTTTGATGGCTAATCGTGTTTTTAAGAAAAAGCAGAGAGAAGGAGATGCACGATCCTTCATACTACAGTACGTAGGTATAAGTTTTTCTCCATTTTTCTTGTTTTATTTTACAGATATTAAAGTCAAAGAGCAGAGCATTGAGAACATGATGAGGTAAGGTTCACATCTTCCTCTGTTTCAGTTTGAAGTGCCCTACTTGTCTCTGACCATCTCTGCTGATGGTGAACCCCAGCGAGTGCCAGGCCGCATTCTAAGGCAGAAACTAAAAAAAAAAATCAAAAATCAAAGCAGACCCACATAAAGCTGCTCATAATGATGTTCTCTCCACATAAATCAGATCCCATTCTGAACCATTTTCCTACCCTCTAACATTCACTGACCATATTCAGTCACCTCAGAGCTTCGCCATGTTTTAAATCCTGAGGTTTTCCACCAGAACACAAAAAAGCCATAAAACCAGGAACGTGACCTAAAGCCTCAACAAAGTCAAACTAAACTAAATGGAAAAACTGAATAAGAACCATCCTTAACTTTAATCACCCTTTCAAATGTTGCTTCAGTGATTTGTTTTCTACAAAGTTGTCTTAAGCCTCCAACTAGGGGACTTGACCCGATCAACTCCGGTTGGTGTTATGACTTTGACTAGACCATTGCATCGGAGTCTTTTTTTTTTATTTAGCCACACTGTTGGATTTGACGCCATTTGCACCAAACATTAGGTGTCAGACAGGTTGACCACAACAGCAACACAGGCCAAATCATCAACCCTCCACCACTAGGCTTTATACTTTGAGATGTTTTGGTCTCATTGTGCTTTTTTGCAAACCTTAGCCCAGCTGTCATACTCTTAGTTTCTCCTTAAATCCATGCAAAACTCATCCATCTTTCCTCGACTTCTGTCTGGAAGTGTTACATGCTGAGAGCTCTTCAGTCTAGCCTGAAGCTTTAGAGGATTTTATCTTTTCTTTGAGATAAGTCTGATGTTTTGAGTTATTTTCTGGAATGATAATTTCAGAGAAGATGTCTAAATGTTTTCCACCTGTGAATAAAATCTTGGACTCTCCCAGACTGCAGCAGCAAGTGCATAAAAGTCCTGATAATGGCCTTAATCTTATAAAAGGAGCAACATTAAACTGTTATTTGCCTTATTTTTTCTTTATTTTCCTAAAGCAGGGCTTCCCAGGTCCAGTCCTGCAGAGCTACTGTGGGTTTTAACTTTTTGATGCATTCCTTCTTCAATAGACTCAGATGGTTGAATCTCCTCATTAGCAGTCAGTCATTCAGGCCTGGTAATCAGCCATTCATTAGATTCAGCTTGTTGGAGAATGGATGCATCTAAAAGCTGAAGGACAGAAGCTTTTTAAGGACTGTAGTAGGGCGCCCCTGGCTTTAAGGGACCACTTTGTCAGTGTTGTACCGATTTCCATTTTCAGAGGGAAGAAGATCTATGAGCCTCCTCGCTTCATGACCGTCAGTCAGGCGGCAGATCAGCTGATTCAGATCATCCAGAGGAGGAGGGAGGAAGGGGAGGAGCTGGGTGAGTTGAACTTGATCTGCTTTATTGATTGATCCCCCAGTGGGCTTTTCCACATCAATGTTTCAGCCTTACTGGTATCAACTTGTTACATAATGGAGAAACTAAAACCCTGGTAAATTAAATAAACTAATATTTCCAAAGGTTGTAGATAAAACCTGTTTAAATAAAACTAAAATGTCATTTGCATTGAAAGATCTGTTTATTTTAACATTAAAGTCACATTTTGAAGTTATGTTGTTTCTGGAGAACTAACATAACTTCCAGTTTCCTGCTCAATGTTTCTGTCCACTCCGTCTGTCCAGGTGTAACAGAGGACACTGTGTGCGTTGGTTTGGCCCGGCTCGGCGCTGATGACCAGACGATCCGATCGGGGACGCTGCGTCAGCTGGCTTCATGCGACCTGGGCGGGCCGCTCCATTCGTTGGTGGTCACCGCCAGACTCCATCCCCTTGAGGTAGACATGCTCCGAGTGAACTCTGAGCCAGATGCGCTAAAACACCTGCGCATGATCGACAGCTCCACGTTCACATCCTAATCATTCTACCTGCCAGGAATCCTCCTGAGGATGGACCCAAACTCCTTTAAAGCAGAATGATCTGTACTGTAAATCTAACATGGACTCAACCTGCAGCTGTTCTGAAAAAAAATCAATAAAGATAAAAATCAATAACTGAGGAACTGATTTATTACAGTTTTTAAAAAATCCCACTAACAGGTCACATGATTTGGTCACAAGGTTTGGCACGGTAAAAAAAAAAAAAAAAAAATCATAAAAATAACGTAAGTGGTGACATTACACTGAACCAATCAGCAGATACCACTTGTGATGTCACCAATAGTGGGAGGGGCTCAGATTGTCTCTGATGAAGGCACTTACCCAGAATACTTTGCTGTAAACAAAGTTTAGAGCAGGAGGAGCGAGGAGAACAAGTCGCCCACCGAACCCGAACAGGTCCAATTAGTAATTATAAAACAGAGAACACGGGCGCAGCTGTTTGAGTCCTTCAGTTCTTTGCGCGCCCAGCGCCCCTTACTGCATGGAGGGGGTTAAAGGTCACCCGGAAGCAGGTGACTGAATGTGACTGGTCCCCGGGTTGGAGGAGAAGCTTCTACATGGCGGCGATGTCGATCTGAACGTACAGCTGGCGGACTCCGACCTGCAGAGAAACGACAGAGGCTGAAATGACAGCAGTTCACGCCTTACAGGAACCAATTCCGCTTCACACAGATCACAGATAAATAATTCATGGTTCACCACCTAAAACCAGTTCACTGAAAGTCTCCATCTCTACAGTTTTCTCCACCAAAGGAGCTAATGTTGGTTTGCAAGATGTCTGAAGCAGCTATGGATGGATTGTTCTGTGATTTTTACCACAGGAGTCTCTTAGCCCGACACTAAACCCATTAAATTGATGATCCGGATTGCGGTTGGGATTTAGGAATTTAAAAAATTAAAATATTCTGAGACAGGAAAAGCTGATGTCTGTGCTCTCCCAGTGCTCTCTAGTTTGTAATGGTTTTTAAGTGAGCCTCTGTTGAGAGGCCATTAGCAGCAAATATCTTTAATGCAGCCGATAAAAGTTCCAATCATCACAGATTAGATTAGAAGGAAGCTAAAAGTGAAGCACCTTCCTGCTCAATCAGCTTCAAGTCTTAGAAATGTTACTTCAGCTACAACAACAAAAGCTTTTTATTTAATTTTGAGCATAATCCGGCATCTTTCTAGGAATACGGTCAAAAAGGTTTCTGCAGCCTCTCTTGCTCCAGGAAAAGAATTTCCATTCTTAGCTACAATGCCATTTATTAGAGTGTAAGTGAAGCTGTATAGCCAACTGTAGAGGAGGAGCAATGGAGACTGAAGCTGAACAACAGAGCCATGAACTGGGCTCATACTAGAAATTAATAGCTTTATAAAACAAGTAATTATACATTTTTATTTTTCATGTAAATTTGACGCAGAACTGCGATAAAGTGAAATAATAACATGATCATCTTTTGAGGGAAATAAAGGAACCAGTTTTTTTTTAATTCTCCAATGAAACCAAGCAGGTTTCCTCAGAGCAGAGCGCCCCGTTTTAGATGTTGGCGTCAGCAGGAACCTGCGTTCAGGTACCTGAGTGAAGATGTTGTGCGTCTGGCTGAGGATCCAGCGTGTGTCGGTGTCGGGCGCCACCAACAGCTTTAAAGTTCCGATATAAACGTCCGTACACAGAGTCCAGAAGTGCGGTTCCTGAAGGTTGTAGACCCCCTGCAGCTGCTGCACCTGAACACAACACATCAAACCAGCAATTAGACACACCCATAGTACAGGTTATCAGCTTTATATGTACAGGGTGGGGTCTGAGGTTGGCACCAACCCTCTGGTAGCACTCTGGCAGGGCGTTGTCTAGTGATGGTGGAGTTCTCTGCATCAAGATACCGATGGACTCCTTCAGCAGCGGCACCACACTGAGGGTCAGAGGTCACAAAGTTTTAACACGTCACAGTGATACAGAAGAACAGCTGATCATCAAAACCAAGATGGTCCTGTAGAACTTCAGAGATGATTCTGAAACAGATCCACACAGGGTCTCCAGGCTTTTAGCCGTAGCTCCGTCTGAGTTTTCTCACATCTGTAGGCGTTTAACTCGACCCGAGCTGCACGGTGACTCCAACTTTCCAGCTGTCGAAACCCGATCTCTGTGGTCAGGTGAAGGCCTCTCAGCTGACCACAGCTCTGCTCAGCACAGTCCTGAAATATGCAGCTCTGCACGCTTCCAGCGATCAAACTACATCAGCGCGCGGCCAGTCGATTTATCGCCGCGGCTTCAGAGAAACCTGACCGCTGCGTCTGCATCCAGGAGACCCGAGGAGCCCAGACCAGACTCCAGGACAGTTTCCAGGAGGGCTGGAGCCCCATTAAGAACGAACTGAACATTCTTTACATCAGTGGAAACCAGTTTCCATGGCAGCCATCAGGCTTTAGATTGATTTTCATCCTTTCGGGTCATTCCCTGAGTGGAGTGTGTCTACAGAGCTGAAAGCTGAGAGAAAAATCCATCGGTCTGTTTATCCATCTAAGGAGTTTAGACTAAAGTTTGCAGAGAATGTCAACTATTGAAATTACAACTCTCCATGTCTGAGACTCATTAAACCTGCAGCAGTATCAGCAGTTTGTTGTAACAGCAGCTGATATTCCCTGAGGTTTCCATCTTTGTTCAACAGGACCTGTTAAGTTTTCTAGCATAAACTAATATTTCAAGTAGATTTAAGACCAGGTTTAAGTCCTCATAGTTACATTACATTTCCATTAAGGCCCTTAAGGCCTAGATCTTGTCTTATGTTTCTTTGGAAGGAAATTCTCATGTTAATCTTCACTTTAAATCCTAAAATTAGAAATAAAAATCTGATTTAAAAAGTTAAAGCAAAGCACCTATGGCAGATATAATATTTTTAAAAGTCATTTTCATTAAAGATCATAGCAGTAGCAGCTCTTTAAAGAGATTTATGTTCCTGGCCTGATGCCAATTGTTACTCCACAATGTTTTTTGTTGATTAAGAAGGCTTTGGGCTTGTTTTTTTCTGTTTGTTTAATCAAAGAATTGGAAACAGTCCGTCCTCCAAACAGCTTTGAGGTCATTAAACAGACATGAGGACCTTATCTTCCAGGATTTTAAGTAACAAGGGCTAATTGGGCAAAAAGAATTTCAAACTTGTAATAAATGTTTCTCTTGCAGATCTAAGAGATCCACGTTATAAAAATGAGCAGACAGAAGGTTGTGCTGGCACTTTGAAAGTGGCTCAAAAGGAAAGATGATTTTCTAAGCCATGTAGATGAAGAAATAATGCAAATTTTTTCAAAGAATAATAAAAACTAAATTCAAATGTTCTATAAGCAAGAGCTTCAGAAAATGTATGCAAGCATGTTTTTCCGTCATCTGCTTCCAGGATCTAGAAACTCTATACTTTTCTGGACTATGAATCGAGGCAGGAGGTGCTGATAGTTCCTCCGAATCCCTCTGAGGCTTCGAGGAACTTCAAGCAGGCATTAAAAGCAAATTAAAGCAGCAGCTTTCTTCCAGAGCAGGAAGTGATCTCACCCCATTGTTCCCCTCCCTTAACCTCAGCACAGCTCAGCACCCATACACAGCTGGACTCTAGCAGCCTTTAGACCAGCCGGTTGGTTGACTACTGAAGCAAAGGGCTCACACAGTAGACACAGCTGTGGTGTCGGCTGGCCACAGGGCGGCTCAGAGGCCCCGCCCACGTGTCAACCCTGCTAGAGGCTGTAGTTACAGCTGTCAGTTATCGGGGCGGAAGCCAAGAGAGCAGACTTGATATAGGACTATCTGACAAGCTGTCGGTATTTCTTTAGAGGAGCCACCATCATCTGAGTTTTCAGTGAGTTTTTACCTGACTCCGATGAGGAGGGCGATCAGCATGGAGCAGATAGGATCAGCAATCATCAGATCGTATTTCTGCATCAGGAGAGCAGAGATGATCACACCAACACTTCCCAGAGTGTCTGCGATGATGTGAAGGAGGACTCCTGGAAACCAAACATCACAGACATTTGAATTAATTTGTTTTCTGTCTGAATAAATCTGCAAATGGATTTTTTTTTTTTGCGTCAAATTTATAATTTCAGTACATATTCACCCCAAATGGTATCATATTTGTAAACATGTGACACAGATAAAAATCTCAAACACAAATTGGCCTACAGCAGCATGTGAATGTGTTTATTAATGAATGAAACAAAAAAGATGTGCTATATAAAAACAGGGTATTTACCATTTAAACCATAGTTTGTGCAAAACTAGTTCAATGTTTTTTTTATATTTTTATTTCTCCTCTTATTTATAGCAACTGTTAATTATTGATTAAAAGTTTAAGTCCAATATTTTAAAATTCTCTTTCCAGACAAGAACTTTTTTTTTCTGCTTACAAAAAAGAAGCTATGTAACTTAAAGTTATTTTGCTTCTGTAATTTTTTAATGTATTTAAGAGTAAATATACTGCAGTTTTATTTGATTTTTTTTTTTCAATCGTCATGCATGAAAATGCTTACGCATGTTTAATTCCCCACTGAGGAACAATAATATTTGTATTCTATTCATCTTTGATAGCAGAACGCATGTGCAGCTTCTCAGCTGAAACCCCTTTACATTATTTACCAGAATATATATATTTTTTTGTTTGTAAAGATTTATTTCTAGCATTGAAATATCCATTTATGAAACAGATATCAGGCAAACATCAAATCTCTACTTAAACTCAGAATTCCAGTCAGTTGTGCACAAAAGCTACATTAAAGGAATAGTACACCCAAAACATGATTAGCCTTCATTTTCTACTCACCCCCATGCTGAACAACACTCTGGAGTACTTTTTTGATATCTCAAATGCATCTGGAGATCTGGGAGGCTTCTTGCTGTCTGCTGACATTCAAATAATGGAGGTCTATGGCGCCCGAGGCAGAAAGGTCCATAAAAGTCCACAAAAAACGTGTCAATATTCCTCCATACTGCTCGTCCAATGTATTCCAAGTGTCCTGAGTGGGTAGCATCCAGAATTTACTCGAAACGAAGTCATTTAGAATGTTTTTAGAGCATAAACAGTAGTGTATAGGATTTCCTAAAAGCGCGTTCACGAGTCTACGGAAACCGCGGCAGACCAAACCAGATGAAAGTGCGCATTCAGCTCGGCAAAGAACTCATGCTCTTCCTCAACACTAAAGTCCTCAGACATTTTTCTTTCGTTGTTTCTTTCTTTGCACAGGTAAACAGCACATTTCTTCTTCTACGCTTGCATTATCGGCAGAGCAGACGCTGAATGCGCACTTTCATCTGGTTTGGTCTGCCGGCTTCCGTAGCGTCGTGAACTTGCAGGCACGCGCTTTCAGGAAATCCTATACACTACTGTTTATGCTCTAAAAACATTCTAAGTTACTTCGTTTCGAGTAAATTCTGGATGCTACCCACTCAGGACACTTGGAATACATTGGACGAGCAGTATGGAGGAATATTGACACGTTTTTTGTGGACTTTTATGGACCTTTCTGCCTCGGGCACCATAGACCTCCATTATTTGAATGTCAGCAGACAGCAAGAAGCCTCCCAGATCTCCAGATACATTTGAGATATCAAAAAAGTACTCCAGAGTGTTTTTCAGCATGGGGGTGAGTAGAAAATGAAGGCTAATCATGTTTTGGGTGTACTATTCCTTTAAGGAGGATGCCTAGAGGAACGACACTGCCCCCTGGTGGATTTGAGTTCTAGGTTCTGAGAGGATCCCATTCAACCAGTTTGATTTAAGGTCAGATTCCAGTCAGAGATGCTTTACCTGAAAACTTTCCTTATATCTCGGATCATTTAACCATAATTACACATATACAACAAACAGAAGAACCTATCTGATGTTCTCTTCAGCTCATCCCACAGCTTTTTTTTTTATAGTCTGAGGGACCCTGATGTCCAGGTGGGTTGATTTTTTAATCTTTTTTTAATGTTTTCCTGCTGAAAGATACTCATGACAAATATTCACTTTGTTGACAGATGAAACTTGATGAAGTTTATATTTAAAGGAGTCATATATCATCATGCCTTAATAACTCTGAGGTCATAACTAAAGATAGATTAAATTACCAGAAGAGACACAGATTAAATGAAAGGTTTGAATGCTATAAAACCAATAAAAGCATCCCATTCTCTCCAATTTTTAAGATTATATATAATTTTTAAAGCAGGTATTTACTTCCTTAAAGCTGCTTTCTTTGATATGAAGATCAACACAAACCTAGTATGCTCTTGTTTTTCCATGTTCCGTTCAACTTATATTTATCTCTTAAAAAAACTGCCTCTTTGATTTTTCATCAGAAGCGATGATTTACAAATGAACTGAGGATAAAGATGGATGTATCTATCTTTTATCTGAAGGTGATGCCGCTGTATGCATGTATCGTCTCACCTTGTAGGATCTGTTTACTGGAGCCTTCTCCTGGGCGCTGCAGCTCATCTGAGGAAGAACAGTAGAATGGTTCAGCATCATGTTCCTTTAAAACATCTATATTCGGACAGAAGTGCTGCCTCACTTTGACAATGCGAATCCTCGTGTCCTCCATGACTGTGTCCGTGACCTCCGTGTCCATGTTTATCGTGGCTGTGGCCATGTCCTCCGTGCCCTTCATGGCTGTGGCCGTGCCCTCCATGACTGTGTCCGTGACTCAGGCTGCCGTTGAACAGAGAGTGGCTGTGGCCATGACCTTAGGACCAAACAAGGGAAGCAGAAAGATTTAATGTTTTACAAGATTTTATCAAAAATAATTATGGGCTTTTTGGGGGGTTTTATCGTTTCCATTTCAGCTCCGGAACCAATTACCTCCATCTCCATGTGTGTGTCCGTGTCCTCCATGCTGGAACACAAAGATCCCGACCAGGTTGACCAGTAGACCAGCCACAGAAACAGGAAGCAGCCGTTCGTGGTGAACGTCGGGCGGCTCCAGAGCTCTCTGACAAGCAGAACAAAACAAAAGGAGCAAAATTAAATAAAAATTTGAAATTCCTGCTTTCTAAGGTCACCCATCTAAAGATTCCTGCTGTAATAACAACGTACTTGCTGCAGCTCCCAAAAACCTCAATGTTAAATATTTCAAACAGAAATAAGAAATTAGGTCTATGCCTGAAAATATGTGTTATAAGGACGGTCTAAGGTTTTAGATAAACACAGAGATCTAAAGGCTGGTAAACAAGGAGAGCTTCTGACAGAGAACTGGTGACACCTGATCCAGCAGAATCACTTAATGTGAGAGAGAACCAACCTTGCATATCATTTAAAGTCACCCAGTGTGGCATCTGCATGTTTATAAATGCACAATATGACAATTTGGTGTCATGCTAATCCGTAAAGTTCTGGTATTCCTGTCTAAGGTCACAGGAACCCACTGCTGTGACAGACCTTCGAACCGTCTGATAACCGAATGACAGCTCAATGAATCCACTCATAGCGGCACCACTGATGCCCTCTAGTGGCCACGCCTGATGTCAAAGCTCCTCATGGACCCAATCATCCACATCACTGGTCTACATGTGGATTAAACTGTCCTTCAGAGCGATTATCTCTTCTTCTCAGTGATTGAATTAAGAAATATCTAATATTGCAGTATAACGATTGTACATTTGAGGCTGTTTTTAAGTTACCTCGACTCCTTCTGAGAAGATGAAGAAGGCAGTGAAGATGAGAAAGAGTCCGTTGACAAAGCCTGCAAGAACCTCTGCTCTAACATACCTGGAAGACAAATACAGAACAATCAAACACAAGCTGAGTAACTGTGCTCAGAGCTACGGTGGAGGGGCTCACCCGTAGGAGAAGCTGTCGTTGGACCTCCACCTGGAGATGACTGATGCTGCAAGACCTGCCAGCAGGGCAGTGCAGTCAAAGAACATATGGAAGGAGTCTGAGATGAGACCTAAACTGGACACAGAGACAGCAGAGAAGATAGATGATTATTTATTCACTCCGGCTTTAGATGAAGTTTATCATGTTTTAATCAATTTGCCGTTTTTAAACACTTGTTTATCGGATTGCATTTGCTATTATATTACATTTGGTCACAGATATTTAGGTCTTAGTATTTACCTCTCTTGGGTCGGAGTCCTTACTAGAACAGTAGTAAGTAAAGCATCTAGAGGCACTTTAACCAGCAAAAAATACACCCAGATATTCTGTGGTTTGATGAAAACCTCCTTCTTTGTTTGAAGCTGCATTAAAACTGCAACAGCTTTGGTGTTTGAGTGGCACTTTGCCTAATCTGAGCTTAGAAATCAGCTCATCCTTAAACATTTGGTGAAACAGCTGCTTACAACAGAAGACCTTAAAAACTGCATTACAGAACCATTGCAAAGTCAATGGTTGATGCGCATCAAGACGCAGCAAAAGGTCCCACAGCTCGCTTTGAGCATAATGTAGCATAAAATTAGTTACTATTGTTGTAGTAAGACCAGAAGCTGCACAGATGGACAATGGTTGCTTAGCAACAAAAAGGAGTTGGGTTGTTCTCTTTATTAACTGTGTGCGTTCACTCTGGGTACTCCAGCCATTACCAAGACAACAAGACGATCATTTCCTCTAAAGCAGCATTGGCTTAATATCTGCTATGAAGTATTAAAAATATAATAAAATAAATAAAATCCCCTAAGTTAATTAATGACAATTAAAACCCAGAGCTTTAAGTGTAGACATTAACCAAACCAGGTAAAACAATCCCCTTGTTCCTAAAAGTAGAACAAAATTTTATTTCATTAAAACGGTTCAGATTGAAATCTGACAACATAGAGGCTTATCAGCTGTTTATAAATAAACATGAGTGACCATGACCAACAGGCATAGAATAGTTGTAGCATGTCTGTACAGCATTTGGGCAATGTTTTAACTCAATGGCGTCATTCAATAACTTCACCTAGTTCTATGAATGACAGGATCATCTGAGGGAGGGCTCTGGCAGCACATGTGTGGAATGCCAATCTATTTATTTCAAATTAGAGTTATTTAAAAAAAACAATTAATTATAAACCATTTCTGACTTTTCTTTTTTTTATTGCAGTATGTAGCATCCTTGAAAGCCATTTATTCTCTGGTTTTGGGATTAAAAAAGTGGATGGAAGGACCAGTAGGTGGATGAATGGCTAATGTGGGTGGACAACCATACATTTTTCTACATCATGTTTTTTTTTCTTTTGCCTTTTTTTTTTTTCCCCAAGCCCCTCTCAAAAACTGTCTCCAGCCAAAGAGTTTTGTTGACAGGAAGTAGGTTTCAGAGCCTGAGCAATCACAGTGAGGAAACACCAAGCTCCAAGTTTTTACTTCTCCCTGTAACTAAAATTGTTGTCGTCTACTTAAAATGACCTGCTGATCTGCTAAACTCAGGGGCGCCATTTGAGAGGGAAAAGATAGGAAGATCCAAAGGTCCCTTGACTGGGACAAAAGATATATTTATGATCTCCCTCATTTTTTAGCTGTAAACATTTTGACTAATTCTTCTAATTCTGATTATTTAACAACCATTAAAGACATCTATAAATCTTGATTATTCTCATGAGCAGCAAAACCCAAAATATATGTTATTACACGTATATATGAAGGAAAAATAAGTTCTCAGGGCCAGCATAAAAATAATCTGTCCTTTAATTAGGGATGGGAATCGAAAACCGGTTCCTGGTCAGAACCGGTTCTGTGTGTTCCAATTCCATGGCACCGCTTGGCAGCTCGCTTGACGATTCTCTTATCGATTCCAGGCAGCACCAGAGCCTAGCGCTAGGCAGCACAACTTCCGTCACGTTTTTTTACGCAAGTTACACACACTGCATTCAGTAAGCAAATACGACGTGACCAGGCAGAAGTCTAGAAAAGCAAAAAAAAAAAAAAAATGGCGCCCCATCTGGTAAAGCGATCGAAAGTTTGGCTTCATTTTAAGGAAGAGAAAGACGGCAAAAATGCACTTTGCAATCATTGCTAAAGTTACGACCAGCATGGAAGGCAACTCTGGTGGTAAGTAGCTAGTTTTATATCGCTGGTTGTGCTTAATGTGGTTCCTAGTTAATCATATACGATTTCTGGAAATAAACCAGTTTCCTATCTCTCTTTGGGGTTATTAAGGGAGTGTGCCTTTCTCGTTATTCCAGCCCTTCATTGCTAGCATGTTTATTTAAAACTACTGGTAGCTGGAATTCTTGCATGATTCTAGCTTTTGCAATGGATGTAACGAAACATGCTACGAAGTTGCTCAGCAGTTCAGGGAGCGAGAGAAAGGTGACGCTCGTTTATTTAAATCAGGGGAAGATGAGTTTATTTCCCGAAATTGTACAGTAATGTTTTTTCATTAAACAGAAGCGATAAGGAATCAAATCGTTTCACAGAATCGATAAGGGAATCTGAATCATGAAAACCTTATCAATTCCCAACCCTCCCTTTAATAAAGTTATAGTGAAACCAAACTGGACTATATTTTCACAATCCAACCTATTTTCTTTTTTTTATAGCTGTGTTCTGTTATTATTTTGATGGGGGATTTTTTTATGTAAAGTTCAAAGTAGATGACATTTTTCAAATTATGATTATTTTCCTTTGTAGAAATTGTACAATAAAAATTACATTGAAAATGTAAATGATACTCATCAGTGCATCTTTATACAGTTGAATCTGCTTATAGCGGTCACAGTGGTCCAGAGCCAATTTGAACACTATAAGCAGTTGATTAATATATCCAAATTTACCGCTATTTCACTTTTTTTTTTAATGCAGAATACCATCTGAATGCCATTTGTGTGGATTTTCAAAGAGAAATTTGAAATGAAACGGACAGCTTCAGCATTTACTGAAGTTTATTACAGTACCAAGCAAGTTTAATTACAGTATACTGCGCTGTGTGCAGACATAACTCTGGTAGCCTGGTGCCGCCGGTGCATTTTCTTTGTAACAAGTCTGAAGCTTGAAACAAATGGTTTCATAGAACAACAACATAGAAGATAACTGCATAGGCTACAGAAAATTAAAGCTAGCCTACCTCTGTTTTGTGTTGCGGATCTGCTGCTCCGCATTAACAAATCACTTAACATATTTAGATTAGATTAGATTCAACTTTATTGCCATTACACAGGTACATGTACAAGGCAACAAAATGCAGTTTAGGTCTAACCAGAAGTGCAAAAGCAGCAAGTGCAGGATAAATAAATTATCCATGGTTCCCTGGATCAGAGTGCTGTCCAACACCGAGTTCACTTCTTTCTCAAAACGATGTAAAAGGTCAAAGTTTTTGAAACCAACATGCAGGAGACCAGTCTTTAAAATGCAAACTGCATTCCTCATCCCCGCTCTGGACAATTTCCACATCCTCCTCCCTCTCCTCGCTGCGCACAGCACTGGTATCCGCACCAAAGCGCGGGTACCAGTACCTCTGTGATGATGTCCTCATCCGTCACGGGCTCTGACACTGGAGTGTTGTCATCACTTTCGAACCACATATTAATTATTTTTGCACGATTACATTCATAAAACCGCTAAAAATGAAGACTATTTTTCTTGATTACTATAAACAAATTATTTAAACAGCATTTGTAAAGAAATTATTCTGTCCCAAGCATTTTAAACACTATAAGCGGTTGATTACTTTAACTGTGACCACTATAAGCGGATTCCACTGTAGCAAATTTAAAGCGTGCATCTTTTTATATTATTATTTTTTTTTTTTCTGGGGGGGCGATAGCAATGTCTTTCATGGGGCCCCAAATTCCTAGCGGCGCCCCAAGCTAAATCTGAAAGGAATCAACATTCAGCACAACTTTTAAACTCTTCAGATTCAATGGCAGGAATCTCTTTCCTGTTTTGTCATGTGCAGTTTGATCAAACTGAGTAACTGCAGAGTTTCAGATTAAAGATGACGGACACGGACACACACACATACACACATAGCTAAAGCTAAGACTTACGTGGCACATCCAGAGAGCAAATAACACAGAGATGCTCCTATTGCTTTTAGCCTACCTGTTACTCCAGATGCCGTATGTTAACTCCACGAAGGCAAAGGAAAGGTTGAGGCAGAGGAAGAAGAACAGATTCCTGGACGTTTTATCAGCTAAAATTGACCTGAAAAACAAACAGAAACAAAAATACTGACCAAACAAATAAAACCAGAAACAAACCAACGAAAGAAGCAAACCCCTAACAGTTAGATCCAAAGACGTAATCAGCGCCACGGAACATCTTTTCTACAGCCTGACAAACCAAATAAAGCCAAGTTTGAAGCAGATTGATTGAAGATCACATCGTTTAAGGCTAACCGGGGTTAGCATCAGGCTAACAATCACGGAGAACCGGAAACAGCGCTCAGCTTTTACCTGAACCATCCGGACAGTTTGAGCAGCAGGTTGAATTTAGCCGGTTTGTACTCGTCGTCCTTTATAGATAAAGGTAACATTTTTACACCTGGACAGTCTCACTCTTACCGGGAAGGTAAACTGACTGAGATGCTAACTGTCAACTTCCGGTGAGGAAGGGTTTCACAATAAAAGGCCTCGCGCCATCCCTTTTTTTGGGTCTTTGGTTCAAAAAAAAAAAAGAAAGAAGAAACGCAATGAAACGCAAAAAATAACTTAGTATATTTACTTGATTAATTTATTTAAGTTATTTTTGAGTAGGCCTTTCTTTATTTGAGTGATTGCTTTGGGGTACTTTCACTCCACCACATATCAAAGTCAAAAATAGCACTTTCTACCTCATTACATTTTGAGGAAGCTGCTCGTTACTTGTTCATTTTGGTTTAGCTCAGCTTTGTAATCCACTGTTGCCTTTTTTCTTTCTTGAAATACAATTTCAACATGCAAGAAAGCAGAAATTTGGACACCGCTGTTTTAGAGTTTGCATGAAATGCCAAACCCAGGGCAGGTAATGTAATATTGAATTATACATATATATATATATATATATATATATATATATATATATATATATATATATATATATATATAGATAGATAGATAGATAGATAGATAGATAGATAGATAGATAGATAGATAGATAGATAGATAGATAGATAGATAGATAGATAGATAGATAGATAGATAGATAGATAGATAGATATAATAACATTTTATTTTTTTTAGTTAATTTTAGATTAGCAAACTGCAAAAGACAGTCAGTCTGCCAAGTGCTGAACCGAAGCAGATAGCAAGGAAAGTTAGGTGGAGATTAAAAAAAATAAATAAAAAAAAAAGATCAAAGTTACTTTGTTTGAAGCTTTAGGTAGACCTGATTTTGGATATTTGTCTAGCACACATACTGGGAAGAAAATAAATCTAATCATTTGCAGAACTATAAAATAAAGCTGTCTTTAAAGTTCTCAATACTCCACAGATTAAATCAATGGACACATAGAGGGGGAGTGAGGCTTAATGACAAATGTCCAGTCCCTTGAGAGTGTCTGTGTTATCTAAGCTTGTGCATTTTAATAACAGCAGTAGGAACAAATCTGGTTTTAAAACCTCTTTGTTAAAATTTTTGAGAATAAAAATCTCCACAAAAGAGAAAAAGGAGCTGAACCTCTGTGAAGGAGGCAAGAGTTTTTGCTTAAAACACAAGAGACAAGCAGCTGTCTGCCTGCTGAACAGTAATGAGACTGATTGTTGGGACTCTACGTATCTCTTTTAAAGTTTGATCAAACCATGACAGCAAAATAAGAGGACAAACAGATTTGATAAAATAATCATTATGTGGTCTATAAAATAATGGCATAGTTTTCCTAAACAGAACAAACCCTGATCAGCCTTTTAACACACGGACTCACTTAAAGCTCCAAAGTTAAATTTAAAATCTACAATAGCCCAAAGATAATTGTAAAAAAAAAAAATAAATGCCTGAGGTCTAAATGAATGACTTGGCTTCTGAAGTTTTCCCTAAAATGAACGATCATGTTTTTGATCTTCATCCCTGGCTTCTTTTATCCTTCCAAATAAGGACTAACAACAACAGATTCATCAGTTTGTGTTATCATAAATCTGCTTGTTTATACATAAGAATAAAAAAGGAGGAGTGATAGCACACAGCCATGGGGTGATCCATTGGAAGTATTATTCTGGACTTGGGAGACATTTTTTCCCCTTTCCTCTCTCATACAAAAAAATGCAGACATTTATTAGACCAAGCTTTTCTCTAAGCTTTCTGAATAAAGTATCCTTTTTTATTTATTTATTTTAATTAAAAGCCTTTGAATACCCACAATTAAAGTCTGGCATATGTCCCTTTAAAACCAAAGTGATTTTAAAAAGCGGGTTAAAAAAGAGAGAGAGTTTGCCATCCTGCTGTTAGGTTTGTATGCAAACTGATTTAAAATCTCACCACTGATTCAGACATTTTCAGTAAAACTGAGTCCAGACTTACTAGTCTAAAATCAGCTAAATGTTTTCCTGGATTGAGGGATAAGTAAAACAGCAGCATCTTTCCACATAGCAGTAAGATTTTAGTAAGAGATCTATACCATGTAGAATGAAACCAGATTCAGCCAATAGGCACAAGATGGCGGGTAGCAACATAAATAACTGCAACATTGAGATGATTGTGGATGAAAACCCATTCAAGAGTATAGAGGAGAACCACTAGGACTCAGTAGAGCCTGAGGAAGCACAGAGGCTTCCAGACAATAAGCTGTTGTCCTGAGAAAACAACAGAGGCTTCACCACATGAGAGAGTAGGAATTATCTGCTGCCAAGTGTTTGTCCAAAGCCAGAGCAGAGTCTACCAATAGCTTTGATGTCTCCTTTTAGTCGTCTTGCTGCTGAAATGCGCAATATAAAAAGACTGATGTTGCTTTCTATACTGACAAGTTTATGGAAATGCTAAATTCCTTTTTCAGCGGGGCCTCCTTCTAACTTGCATTGATTAGGTTTTAGCTGCAATCACCAGAACACCTCAGCAGAACCACAGGCTTATAACCCTTGTCCCATGCTGCACTAATGCAGGAATGGTGTCAGAAAACACCGAAGAGCTATAGGCCACTCGATGTGTAACAGTTCTATATACTATGTAATGTATGTAAATGTAAATCCCTTTGTTATCCCACAATGGGGAAATTCACTCTCTGCAGAATATAATGCATTTCTATTTTGCATATATCAAAGCTTCCCTTCTCACCTTTTTAAGAAATATTATTGCAATTAATTATTTTTATTTTGTTTCAATTTATTGACGTAACCTTGTACCGTAGAAAGAAATTGGAATGGTAAAAAGCATTTTGCTTTCCTGAGTTAACTCGACTCCGATTGATTTACTATCACTTAACCAAATTTTAAATGGTGGCATTTTAGCCTACTTGGTCTTTTTACGCTTTTTGTTTTTGTTTTGTCAAACATGGAAATATTACATTTTAATTACGTACATTTTAAGCAAGGGAAAGTTTGGTTCTTGTTGTGTGAGTAATTGTACTCTTAATGTTGAAACAAAATGTTTTTGCTTTTTTATTCCATGTCCTAAATTTTAATTAGGGAAAAAAATGTCTGGCAGGTTTTAATTAAAAAAATGGAAAGAACATGTTAAGAAATACAATTATAAAAACAAAACAAAACAATCATGATTTCATAACTCTTTCCAAAACAAGACACATAGTTTTGCTTCTCCCTACTTAAAGGTAGACATTGATATCATGTCATTTTGTTTCTTCTAATCAGATGTATAAAATTAGAGTAACCATCAAGAACCTTTATTATATAGAAGCAGGAGCTAAAAAGCAACTGGGAATTGATTGAGATTTTACAAAAAATAAACAAGAAAAAAAAACTCAGGTTAAGTTTCAAATTAGAAAATTAAAAAGGAAAAAGAAAGAAAAACAGAAAGCAATAAATAGAGGAATGCTAAATAGAGTCTGACCAGTAGAGGGCGCCCCTGTGCAGAAGATGAATCTGGAGTCTCTAATGTCATTGTGAGCTGTTTCATTATCAGTTGCGTTACAAGAAACTAAAGTAGGAAGCAGAGATTTATCTTTCTTTCTTTTTTTTCTTTTTTTTTTTTACCAGATCAAAGGTGTTGAAGGATATTTTTGCTCTATTATTTAAAGAAAAAAATAAAATAAATACCTGTAGAATTTTCCCATATCCTCTCACATTACAACCACATGATTCAATGCATTTTATTTGGATTACAGAAATAAGTAAAGAACAAGTAGGGCGTACTTAGGGAGAGTAAGGAAATTCATGCATTACTTACCGTTTCAGTCACAAATAAAAATCTGAAAAGTGTGGCATGGTTTTAATATGTGCCAATTTCTCAGTAATCTGTTGACTGAGCAATTGTTGACTGATCTGTCAGTGGTCTGTACTTTTACCAGGCCATTCTACCCCTCTGGTTTCAATTTTTTTAGGAAGCAAAATTATTGTCACTCTTCCATATAGACCAGCTGGTGGGTGTTATGTAATTGATCTGTCTCACCTGGAGCAAAGCGATGGGTGATCTCCTCCTCACCTCCTACAGAGAGACCAACCTGGCTCACACCTTTGATCCATTAAGACACAAGGAGCCAACACTGTTCACCTGACAGCCTAAATCATCACAGTTTTTTTTCTTCCCTCAACACGTATAGACAGGTTGAAGAAACATCAGCTCTTATTAGGAGTGGATGAGAGCAGGACACATCGGTTTCCACCTTGGATGAAAAGGAAGATATAAACAGACATTAAGAAAGTTCAAATTCATGAGAAACCATTTGAGAAGAGGTAGAGAAGTTGATCTGATGTCTAAGTCTGAGCCTGCACAGAGGAAGACCATAATGGGAACCTGAGTGGGGTTTGGAGAAAGAAGGTCACTGAGGGATGCTGGAACTAGGTTATTTCTTGAAGGTCCCTCAGCAGAAGCACACCATAATAATTAAAACTTACAGGAAATAGATGTCCGTGTGTGCTGTTAAAATGTACTTGAGTTGCACTGTTTAAGTTTCTTACTCGACTAAATTGGCTTTCCATCAGAGGAAGTTATGAGTTTTTTCAAGGGCAGAGGAGCAAAGACTGAACATGGAGAAGCAGAGAAAAACAAAAAACATAAATGAGGGAAAAGAGGGGAGAAAATGGGGATTGAAGTTTTAAAAAACATCCGTCAGGATGTGAATGTCAGATATAAGCCTGCAGAAACACTTTTGAATTAGCTTCTGTGAGGGGGAAATGTTTGTGTGGTTTACACACACAGATTGATCACATACAGTGGCTAAATTGATGAAGAGATGGTTAAAATATCTAATTCAAAGGCCTATTATTAAAATCTTTAGGTTAAAAGCAGAGGCACTGTATTTATACTGTAGGTTGCATATTTTGTGGCATTGACAAGGCAAGGCAAATTTATTTGTATAGCACAATTCAGTACAAAGACAATGCAAAGTGCTTTACATGATTAAGATACAGGAAAATAAAACAGAATCAAAGCAAGTAGGGAAAAAAATTAAATAAAACATGCAGAAACAAAAAAGAATATTAAAAACAGTTGGACTAAAGAAAATAAAAAAGTTGAACTAATGGTGTTTCAGTTGAACTGTTTAACTAGAACAGTCGAAGGCAATCCTTAAAAAATGCGTTGACGTTATATCTAACTTCGTTTTTGTTTGTTGACTAAAGTAAATTGAAGTTCCTGAAGGTTTTTCCTCTATAGTTTTGGAACTTGGCTTTGATGGACTCGTCCAAGAATAAAACCTTTCAGTATAGGAACGTTTCATCCCAACAGACAAATGTTCTGTGTTGAACACTGATGATTTTTACCAAGACAACTGCTGCTTCAGAAATATTACAGATAATTTCTTAAAGGGCAACAGCAGCGTAGGATGCAGAAGTTCTGCAAACGGAGGGTTGCTGGTCCCCAACCTGTCTTTCCCTGTGGTTGTGTCATTGGGCAAAACACTTCACTTGCATTGCCTACTACTGAAGGTCAAAGGGTCTGGTGGCGCCTGTGTACAGCAGCCTTGCTTCTGTCAGCCTGCCCCAGGACAGCTGTGGCTACAATGCAGCTTGCCACAGTGAATGTGTGCATGAATGGATAATTGTAGAGGGTGTCTTGGAGTCCTGATTTTAAAAAGTTGCTATACAAGTACAGGACATTTACCGTTTTCTGCTGCAGCAGCATAAAAGCCCTCTGTTCAATGTTAGAAAACAGGTTTAAGTTTTCTTTTACATTACAAAACTCACTGAGTTCGGCAGCCAACTCTTTTCTATAATTTTGTGTTTTATTTTAAGAGCTCTGATGGATGAGTGCTTCCTCTGGCAGTTCATCTCATTTCCATCTCTTTCATTTTTCTCTGTGTAGAGCCTGAAGCCAAACTTTTTGTCTATACAGGACCTTTGTGACTCAGCCACTGCTTTGTGCAGATTCAGCTGAAACATTTAATGGACTATCATGATGAATGTTTCTTTTTGCTCCATCTGGTGTTTTTCCATCATGTCGCATTCACTGTCGTGCCGCGTTTCTGTGACCCCTCACCTCTGGACTCGCTTATGCAGAGAGTTCTGCTGTGTCTTGTCGTTTTAATCTCCTGCCATGCTGGTATTTCCTGTCAGCAAGAGTGAAGATGGAGCTCTTTGTTTTGCTGACCTTAAGAAACTCCGACAGCAGATTTTAATTAGACTTTTTGTTTCTTTTGAGCATCTGATTTCTGCAGGATGGAACATCTTTAACCTCTGATCGGCTGTTTGGCTGACATACTGAAAGCCGTAGAAATAACTAAGGGTCCAAAGTTCAAGGCATTTAAAAGAAGACATCAGGAAGCTGCTGCAAGAAGATCCAACAGGAATATGTTTCTAAAACACATGCCTACAATAAAAATGTCTTTTTTTTTAATAAGCTCTGTTTCTCTCTTCAAAATAGCATCTAAAATAGGTACTAACATGTTCTATTTATACAGGTTGTTTTGGTTTTTCCAGGTACCACAGTGTGGTTTGGTTTTGCTCTGGTGTATAACGGTTGCATCCTGACCTCCACATTGGATACAGTAAAACAAAAGGGAACTCAAGCCGGTTCCCTTCATTTTCTCACAGTTGCCATGGAGACAGCATCACATGACTGGACATCAGCGTTCTGGTGAGGACCTCACAGCTCTGTTGCAGTGGACTGGGAGAACAGACAGTCCCTGTGAGCCTGAGCTGGAATGGAACCAACACCAGCGATGGACCCGATCCACATTCACTCCCTCTCTTCACACCTCACATCCCAGTTTCCATGGCAACAAGCTCTGGGAACCAGTTGTCTTAGCAGTGGACATAAAAGCTACCAGAACTGTTTTGTTTAAACCATCTTGTCATCACTGTCAAACTGTTCTAGGAGTTAGACCGGCCCCAGTGTTTCAGCTCCAAAACAGGCAGAACCAGAATTGTTCCAGTTGACTTTTTGGGATTCTGATGTTTGAATACAAGAGTGTGATGCAGCTCAGATGGCGTTGCGTATTTGGGTTTTCCTGAGAAAACAGAATGATGCAATGTAATCGAGATTATGATTAATACATACCTTAGGGTAAAGAAAATAATATTTTACCAAAAGTTTGGTGCATTTAAGAAGTTTAATTGTGACTCTAAATTAAATATTTACCTAATAAAGTCTTTAACTACTGTGGATTTTTTAAATCTAAGCCAAAGGCCTTTTTTTGTCCTTCACAGCCTTAAGGAACCAGAGTAAAGCAGTCTTATAAACACCATTCTCAGGGCTGGAGCTGAACCGTCACCCCGGTAACCGTGTAGGACACCCTGAAGTTTTTTCCAGTAAACAGCAACAGAAGCAAAAGTGAAAGCTTGAAAATGAAAGGAAATTCCAATAAAAAAAAAAACAAATCCCGGGATATAAAATGATGTTATCACAAGTGAAACAGTTAGAGTGAGGAAATAAATATTTTTATTAGAAACAATGAGAAAGGCCCTGTACAGAACTTATAAATCAAAAGAATTTGTAACAAAACTACTTTGCAGCATCTGTACCAAACTAACAGAAGATAAGTATAAACAAGTGTTTCTTCATGAGAAAGAAAAAAGAAAAACCTTTTAGTTTTAATCAAGCTTGTGCTTTTAGTTTCGATCTGCAGGCTGAAACCTGAAGCATCAGGTGGGTTTTTAAATGCAGAGGGGAGATGTTCCTGCAGCACTGGGCTGGTGCCAGGGCGTAGGGACGTTACAGCTGCCTTTAGATATGTGCAAAAGTTAGAAAAACAAAGCATTATAATGTGCTGATGTGCAGTATTTACATTTCTGTGATTATAGCTGCGTTTTTGGAACTCATCAGCAAAACATTGGGCTCATAACAGTGATTTAAGGAGGGTGAGGTAGAAGTCATGTTTCTAGAAAGACAGAAACATTATTTAATATGCGCACTCATACAGATGACCTCATACAGTGCTGTGAAAACTATTTACACCAATAAAGATTCCTTACATATTCATTTAAAATCATCAACAAGAGTAAATAGAAAAGGCTGTTTAAGGACAATTTAATGTAGGAAGCGGTGGATCCAAGGCAACCTGAAACGGACCCTAAACCTAAAAACTGTTTCTGTCACTCTTGGCAGCAACAACTGGGGTTACAGGATTTCCAATAACCTAACGACTTGTGTTTCATGCTGGAAACATTCCTGGCCCCTGAATTGTTTTCCTTTAGTCACTTTTGGGTTTTCCCCAAAAATACTTTGGTTCATTTTTCCTTAAAACTATTTAATGATGTTTACTGGTTATATTATTTCTAAAAGTTTCATAGATTTTACAAAACAATGTGAAAAAAAATGATATCCGTAGGAGGGAATTGTGGTGTTACAGCACTGTATGCTGGGAAAAGAGATATTTTAAATCTTGTTGTGAATGCTGGAGTCAGAGCTTGAATCTAAGGAGCACCACAACCAGAGGGAGCTGGGACATGTGTGATATTTTGGCCACCTGATCCACGTTAGCCATTATATAAAAAAAAAAAGCTGTGTTTTTAAACTGAAAGCATCAGATTTGGGGAAAGATTTAACATTACTTCAAGACTTTCCCTGTGCAGTGAACCTCTTACAGCAACACTAAAGCCACATTTCAGTGCATTAAAGCCCTACTTTAAAAGCCATCTTCCTGAAGTCAGGTATCCCGTCTCAAGGACATGATTGCCACCCTTTGACATTTAGGAGCAAAATGTTCTGATGTGACAAAATCACATCAGCACTGAAGGAAAGACATATTTCGGAGCTTAGGGGCCTCAGTAACGAGTGTGTTGGCTTCATGCTGAAGGCGGGGCGGACTGGGCCAGCTGATAAAAACCTTTCTTCCTGGATCTCCTCATGTAGTCGAGGACCAAAGCAAAAGCCGTGAGCCCGGCAGCAATGCAGGCGGCTGAGATGAGGATGATACTGAAACCTGGATGAACTCCGGTTCTGACCTCTGCTAATGAAATACAAGCAAACAAATAAAGTAAAATGTAATCCAACATCTTCATATAGTAGTTTAGTGATTTTTACCAACCTCTGACTCTGATGCTGAAGACTTTGATCTCAGAACCAAGATCGTTGCTCACGTTAACCTGATACAACCCAGAGTCTCTGGATGTGACGTTGACCAATAGGAAGGTGCCATTGGTTGAATACAGCTCGGTTCCGTTGTTTAGCTTCCTCAGGATCACAGCTGATGGTGGGAAGCTGATTGTTTGGCAGCAGACAGTCACATTTTGTCCCTCCTTGACTTCTGCAGAGGGAAGGATGAGGACGGTGGTGTTCCTCGGGGGAGCTGAACAGAACAAACCCAGACAAACATAGTTAGAGTGGGTCCTGTCAGTGTTATAAGCATGGATGTTCTGAGGGTAATAAAATAATGCTTTTCTGGTTTTATAGTGCGTTATGTTTGTAAAGCGCTATAATCTATTCTGCTCCAGTTGCATAATACCTGGCAAATGTTACAGAGATTTGTAAATCATCTCTCTGCCATTATGTTGTGTCACATCGATGGCATGCATACAGTGTTAGATGCACATCATGCAGGCCTTGCATTGGCCTAAAGGATGTTAAAAGATCTCATGCAGGTGTAATGCTAAGTATTTCAGGTGTAACATCATTTTCTGCCACTGTTACAGAAGTTTCTTAAGATGAGACTGCACATTTAGACTTTTAAAGGCCTAAAGCACATTCATGCTGTCAACAAATGTTAATTGCTACAGGCATTATCGCTACAGCCACAGACCTTCAACATCTTTTGGATGTTGTAAAGAACTATATAAATAATGATAAGTTAGGTTGGTAGAGAGGTAGGTATCAAGGAAGTAGGTCTTTCTTTGTATCTAACATTATTTTGTGGGCTGTGACATATTAGAGGGGGGAAAAGAAAATCTGATGGCGTATTGCTGTCATTTCCTTTTTAATAATTCTTCTTCTATAGTTAGTTATATATATAGCTATAGTTATAATATTTCCTACTTTTGTGGTGATTTATCCCCTGAGGAAAATCTGGCCATGTTCTGTCGAAGACATCGAGGCTCTGGCCACCTCTTAACTTGCTGACGTTAACTGTGATAAATCACTGAACACTAAAGTGAGAAGAGTGTGTGGAGGCGGCACTGGTGACTAATTCTAACACTTTGAGGAGGTTCAGCCTGTAAACAGCTACAAGAGCCTTCTGACCTCCTCAGATAACAGAGAAGTGAAGTCAGTGACAGCTGGTTTCTGATCAGCCCGCTTAGTAGAAAACTAGCAAACAGGCTTTTATCAGCTTTTAGAAATGTCATTCTTCAGTTTAATGTGTTTAAAGTGCTTTGTAAAGTTGATTTCATCTCTCACATTTGCAGCAACAGGTCAAAGAATTTCAAATGGGCCTCTTGACCTTTTCTTTGACCTTTAGGCAGCACATCATCACCTGATAGTGGACGACCCTGTCATCCGACTATGGGTCAAAATAGTTTCTGCTCATTTTAAAAAGTTTTAAAACTCTTGAGCCACAAGAAAACAACAGTTTACGCATGTTTTATACCAATTTGGTGCACTGCAAAGCGACACAACATTTAATAAGTTATTATTTAATTAAAGCCAACAGGGTCTAAACTGATAGAAAAGTATGTCAATGACCCTGTATGTTAAGTTTAAAGAGATCAGTTTCCTGAAGATTACTTTCTGAAGTTCTGCTGGTCTTGTTTATTTTGTACGTCACTGGACACATGGCTTTCATTTGTATTTAATCTTTCTGGATGTTTCTATTCCATTCGTGGACTATGAGACATGCATTACGGCGTTTAAGATTGAACTATAACACCCACAGTTCCTGCATTGGTCCGATCCAATCACCCACTGAAGGGAGGTTGACAGCTCAACAGTTACGTGACTCAGCAGTGGGATCAGATGCTATTTCTGTCAACCTCCCTGATGAAAGCTGTAAAAACAAAGAGAAGAAAATATGGAAACCAGAAGAACTGGGAACAGGACGGGAAAAAAATAAACCAGACTAAATGTGAGATTAAATGTGTAATTTAGTCTGGCCCCAATTAATGAGACATTGTTGTTGAGAACAACCCGTTGTCTTTCAAACCATGTCTGTGCCTATTGGCCAACGCTCTGACCAATGAGCACAACTGACTGTGACGTAGTAAGCGTGACAGAAAGCTGGTGGGGGAGTGTAAAAAAACAGCCTGTCGGTAAAACTGTGAATACGTCCTTCTTAAAAATTAATGAGCGTAGAGCCTCTTCCTGCTCACGTTTAAACGAAAACCGAAAGTCTAACCCTTCCGAAACTGATTCCAAAGCTGAGTCAAACGAGAACTGTTCAATAGTTGCTGCCATCTTCCTTTGTGTATTTCTCCAGCGTTGCGCTGCTTTGTCGTCCCGCCCTAAAAACCCCGCCCTTTTTGCATCCAGAAATTCAAAACACATCTCTGCGTTGTGATTGGCCCGCCAGTTCTAGGGCCTGGGGCATTGATCAAGGCTAGACCAAACTTGCAGGCAAAAATTATTTTGGCCGTTGGCGGGTGGGCAGTGATGGGACTAACGGCGTTGAAAGTAACGGCGTTACTAACGCCGTTACCTTGTTTTAGTAACGAGTAATCTAACTAATTACTTTGACTGTAACTATAACGCAGTTACCATTCCATACACCCCGTTACTGCGCGTTACTCAGGTCGCACAATTAACCTTTTTTCATGATAAGACTCGTGCGCAGCTGCGTGAAGCTGACACCCCACCCACGTCAAAAAAAAACTCTGCATATAGACTGAATGGTTAGTGCAACGTTAGTGCAGATTTGTGCAGAAAAAAAAAATTGTTTGTGCTACTTTTGTTTAAGAGATATTAAAGATTATTTTTAGGTCATCCAGAGGTGCGCGCCTTGTCATGAGAGAGGGGAGGATGAGAATGGCTGATGAGTGAGATTCCATCTGTCAGTTGGGTAGGTGGGTGTTTCCGCTGGCGGGTGTTAACGTACAGCACACACAGAGAGATGGAGAGTGAGGATGACTCCAGCAGCAAAACAGCGTTTTCCTGATAGAAATACCGGTGTTAGGTCGAGCTGCGTTTCCCCATCACATACGGTTTCCCCTGCATCTCCGCACACCGCAGGCGGCACGATTCACCGCACACGCGACAGGAAACGCGCATGCTCGCTAAAGGCGCGCAACAGTCGCCCTGTGCTCACGCCACAGGAGAACTATGGAGAGCGTGAACGATCAAATGATAGCCTATATGGAGAAAGGGAGAAATCTGGATGGATGGATGGATGGATGGATGGATGGATGGATGGATGGATGGATGGATACTCTGCCTTCTCAACCTACTGTATTTTTTATTTTAAACATTATTTGATGGCCTTTGTGGCAGGGATGGAGATCCATATTTTATGTCACACACAGAGTATAGATAGATAGATAGATAGATAGATAGATAGATAGATAGATAGATAGATAGATAGATAGATAGATAGATAGATAGATAGATAGATAGATAGATAGATAGATAGATTTCAGAATTAGACATCCCCAGTTATTAATTTCATATACTCACCAGTTGCAATAAATGCAAAACTCTCTGCAGGTTCTTGTCTTTGTCGTTCGCTCTATTCAGCTGGCTTTGGAAACACACGGCGAGAAGGTGGGGGCTGGGTGGTGAGGGTTACGGGGGCGAGAAACGCAAAAGTAACGCAATAGTTACTTTTACTAGTAACTAGTTACTTTTATTGTGGAGTAACTCAGTTAGTAACTCAGTTACTTTTTGGGAGAAGTAACTAGTAACTATAACTAATTACTTTTTCAAAGTAACGTGCCCAACACTGCGGGTGGGGCTAGTTTACTAGGCTAGTATTTTGTGGAATTTTGTTTGACAGATTTGAACCTCTTTAATCCAGCCAATTCTGGATTAGGAAAATTCTGAGATCTTCTCAGCAGAAAATGGATAGGGGCAAACAGGATGAAGATCCATGTGTCAGCATGATCCTTCAGTCCCGGCAGGAAAGTTGAATAAAGTTTGTCCAAGATTAGACCTGTGGTCCCGATCATGGTCCTGTGATCCTATTAAACCAAAGTAGTTCTGTCCTAATCTGTCAACAGAAATGTCTTCAAGGGTTCATTAAACTTCTTAAACAAACCTTCAGGTTTCCACTGATCTAAAATCACCTGCTGAATTCAGATCATCCAGACACATTTTGACTATTTTGACCCAGAGATGATTAGTTATCAGTTCAGATGATAGAGTGTCAACAATGAAGCCTATTTTTTATGATAATTAACTGGTGTTTAGTCTTGTTAAAGCCTTGGGCAGGGGCCTGAAAACTGTGGCTCTGGGGCGAAACTATTATTGTAATACTCCTCAATTATAAAAATAAAAAGGGCCAATTCTAATATTCACAACAAAACAATGACAAGGATTTTTTTTTTTTTTTTTTGCTGCAAAATAAGCATTGTGTACTTTCTATGAATATGGATGGTTTCATTATAGGACTGCATTTATACAGAGAATAAACACTCAGGTAAACTTTAGCTAGCTACTCATTACTTGACATTTTACGGCAAATTGTTGAGCTGGATTATTTTTGAGGTGCCAGCTTATCGGTTTGGAAAACACTTCACAGAAATTCGTCTTTCATCATCAACCTTCTGACCTTTGACTGTGACAGAGCTGGAGACAAACTGGGAGCCATACTGGTTCGAGGCCTCACACTGGTAGAGGCCCGACTCTTCTAGAAGGGCGGAGGAGATGCTGAGAGTGATAGAGGAGGAGGAATCAGAGTCACTCCTCAGAAGCTCCTCCCCATTTCTCCTCAACATTACTGCGGGTGGCGGAACTCCATCTGAACGGCAGGTAAACGTCACCTGCTGACCCTCTAGCACCTCATCACCTGGACTGATGGACAAGGAGGGCAACCTGGGAGGATCTGGGTCAGAAACAGATACAAACCTGAGGTTAGGGTTATCAAGATTTAAAGGAGAAAGAGAGGATTAGGAGAAAAAAAGACATCAGTTCAAGGAATTACACAAGGTCGCCACCAGTGCAGAGCTTGGTCAATGCTGATGGGAAACTGTAACATAGAATTCAAAAGCTACCATTTATGAGCAGGTACTGCACTGATGGCAACCCGGTTTAATAGTTGAATTAATGAATAAGGAGGCCACCAGTGTAGAGCTTATTCAGATCCTTTGGGTGCAAGAAGAGGTAAATATAAATAATAACTAAATAATAGGGAAAAACTAACTAAATGGAACTATTTAGTGATTATAAACCTAAAACATATGAAAACTCTAAAATTATATATCTATACACCCTTCCTCTTTGTGTACATAATTTTTTTAATATGTCTTGCACACTGAAATATTGTTATCTCCCCAAAGGACTCAATTAACATCAGCTATAATTGAGCCAGTTTTTGAGAATGGAATCTTGTTTTATTACTTAAGTCTCATCAAAATATTTACAGCTTTTACTCGCGTCCTTTAGTTAATTGGGAAGTTGGATTGTCTGCTCTGTTGGCGGATCCTCCTAAATTAAGCTGTTCTTGACATTTGACCTTCAAATCACCACTTACCAAAAAAGGAGCATGGAGCTACCAAACTATTTTTTTAATAGCTAAAGGCTCATAGCATGTTATAGAGAAAAGCTTTACATTTCCTGTTTTTTTATTGGAATTATCACAGAAATAGGAATAATCTGAATGAAACCACCTCAATGAATGTTAGAAGTCAACTCATAAAGTTGACTTCTAACAACTCAGAATAACTCTGGAGTTTTAAAAAGGGAATCTGAGATGATTAAAACCCAAACCCTGATTACTTACAGTGGATCTGCAGAGGGATGCTAGTCCTTCTGGATTTCCAAACGTCTCTGTCCACTGTCAGCAGCTCCACCCTACAGGTCAGGACCTGCTGCACCGTCTCAACCTGGTGCTTTAGGACTGATGAGATGTTCTGCAGGGAACCAGAGGACTTGTACATCTCCATCATTAGGGTTTCATTTCCTGAAAGCCAGGAGAACCTCAGCTGATTGGCTGAGAAAATGTTGAAGACATTGCAGTGATATTCAGTTTCCTGGCCAAGCAGGACGGGACCAGGATCCTCCAGAACAGGATCAGAGGGGAATGCTGGAGAGACAAGAAAAGAGCAGAGACATCAATGAGAGGAACTAAACAACAGACAGGAAAAAGCTAATCTCCTATATCATCTAAACTTTTCATTATGCTCACAGTCCTGATCTGGATTCTGTCAGACTGATAAAATAGAATTTGAAGGATTGTTGGTGAAAAATAATCTGGAACAGATAAACCTTGTAGAACATCCTGTAAAATATCTCCAGTAGGCTACTATCTAACTACATATAAAAGTTTTCCTTCACCTTTAAACCCCCCCTGCCTCTTCTGTCACTGGTCAAACCATAAACCTTCAACAGAACATCTTCAGCACACCTGAAACCTCCACAAAATATTCTGGATCTCCTGCCATAGTACATCTGTAAAGACATCAACTTCCAGTTAAAGTAAAAAGTAACACCCGTAAAAGCTCTGCATGTCAGCGGGATCCTGGTGTCCCTGCAAGAAAGCTGAACAAAGTCTGCTTCAGTTCAGATCTCCGCAAAACATTTTTCTTAAAAAAATCTCTTTGGAAACTGAAAAGGTAGATTTTTCTGTGTATTTCAATAGGTTCTGTTTTAAACGCAGCTCTGACTCTGATAAAAAAAAAAAAAGGAATGTCATGACAGAGGACTTGATAGAGAGTTGAGGCCTGGATTAAACCATTTTATTTGAAACACAGACTCTCCGACAGTCTGTCTCGTAGTAGAGCGTTTCACATTTGGTGAGGAGGTCCGGGAAGTCAGAGTGTATATGTGGGTGGGGTGGTGGGGGGTGTTTGGTTTCTCTCTGTGTTGGGTAATGTTGGTCGGAGCGCTGGAGTTTGTCCTCTGCAGTTCAGATTGAAGGTTGAGGATAAATAAAATTCACATTTTCTCTCACTTAACAGCTCTGTTGTTTCTTCTTGGGTCTCCCAGTCATGATCGCCTTTTATATCAGAGTCTCTTGGATTAAACCAAACCCCAGATCAGCTGTTTTTTTTTAGGCTGAAATACTGTGAAACAGGAGCTCCTTCATTCACTAAATTTACTTTAATCTCCTTTCTGACTCAGAGGCCTGGCACCTACAGCTGCTGTGTTTTTAACTGTCAACAGTAGGACGTGTTGCCAGAAAGAGTAGTGTGATAAAATGCTGAGGAACAAAACCAATGTAAACAAAAAAAATGTAGAACTTCCTGACCCTTGACCTGTAGGTATGCTGCAGTGGCAGGACAGAATAGACTGAGCGGCAGCAGCAAGTCAGAGTGAAACTGAACAGTAGTGATTAATGCTGGAATAATTTCCCATAAACTTCTATCAGTGTGTGTTCTGGAAAGGAAAAAAGTAATAATTTGATTCATCAGCATTATCTCCTTCCTTAAAAACATCTGATATCAGCTGGAAGGAAGCCAAACTCCTTCAGTAGTACTACGATACCAACACTCCTAGAGATATTAAAATGTAAGTAAAAGGTTCCTGATAGCCGCCGTGGGTTTATATTGTTGTTTGCTTCACTTTCTGTTTCTGCTCTGGTAAGAGCTTTAAATCCACTCCTCAACCTGAATATGAAGGTAATTTAGGCTTATAATGAAATATTTTATTACATATATCCAAACATTTTCCTCGGGCGACTGTATAACTACTTTAATGTGTGTTGTACACCAGATACAAACTAAAAAGTAGTCATCTATGGAATCAAAAGAGAAAACATATTTGATAAAAAGGCAATTCAAGTATTGAGTAACTGTTGGATCATAACATCTAATATATGTTTAGAAATGTTGCAGTCAGTAAGACCTAAGCTGCAGGTTCTGGTATTTTAAAAAATAAAATACAAAAAAATAAGTAAATAATAAATTACACAATAAAAAATAAAAAATTCACGTAGAGGAATCAATTCTTTCAAAACAGATTTTTCAACATAAAACTTAGAAAACCAGTCCTAGAGGATGACGAACTTCCTTTTTTTCTCCCCAGTTTTTTCACTGTCATTGCACTGTCACAAGTACAGAGCAATGAAATAAACTCTCTGCATTTAACCCATCCCCTTGGGGAGCAGTGGGCTGCCATTGTGCGGCGCCTGGGGAGCATTGTGGGGTTAAGGGCAACTCCCTAGAGTGGCAGTCTGTGGGAGTGGGGCTTGAACTCAGAATCTCTGGATACCAAGCACAATGCCCTAACCACTAGGCCACCACTCCCCCGCGGCCAAGGGGTTGCAAACTTCCACTAACAACATCTTCTGTTTCCTGTATATATTTATCTGATCTGAAGTTACTCACAGTAGACAGAGCAACCAGTATTTTTAGCGAAGTAAGAGTAGCAATACTGAAAATGATAAGTACAGTTCAGTAAAAGTATTCCTAAAAGCTATTTTTCCAAAGTTTTACTCAACCCACCTCTGATTTTAGGGAATGGTAGCCCTCATCAACAATAATCAAAATGAGGAAAGAAGGTAAAAGACACGTAGCAAAGGCCTGAAAAGTGAAACTGACATTTTTTACTCTTCAAACCAAGGAACACCACTCCAATTACCATCTCCCTATAAAGTGGCTTAGACAGAATTGGAAAATGGTGCAGTTCCCCAAGTCTGCCACAAGTTAGTGGTATGTTAATTGAAACTCAACAACATGCATAGAAGCTTTATAAAAACAGAGAAAAAATGAGCCATTTGTTTGGAAACCATCCGGTCACCAACATTATGGAAGTAGATCGGTCTCAATTTTCACAAATACACATATGTGATTCATACATGCACAGGATAAGATCAACACATGCACAGCACGATTCACATAAGGAGAAAAAAATCTACACACAAAGGACAAGATCCACAGACACAGAACAATTGTAGCAAGCACACAAGATCCAAGCATGCACAGAAGAAGGTTCCACAAAGTATTGAAAATGTGGTCAGACTCACAGTACACCTGGACGTGGATCTCCCTGGTCCTAATGACGGAGTCACACTCGGCCTCACAGCTGTACCCTCCCTGATGCTGAAGGTCCAGGTTCCACAGGTGAAGCTGGGACCGCCCATCCCGCTGCTTCTTCTTCTGGAGGAGGGTTCGGTTCCGGTCTGTCCTTCTCCAACTGAGAGTGGGGGGGTGCAGGCACCCTGAGGCCCTACAAGTCAGCGTAAGTGCTGAGCCCCGCTCCGCTGAGACCTGAGGGCTGGCCTCCACCTGTAGAGGGTGGGCTGGTAACAAGGAGGAACACATGGAGAGTGTGAGAGCAGTCCTGATGGGCAAAAATATCCAACATCTTGGAACAAAGGTACCTCTGACAGTGATGAACCTGGAGGTATGCTGGGAGCCATACTGATTGGAGGCTTCACACTCATAGAGGGCAGAGTCCTCCAGTACAGCAAAAGGGAGGCTGAACATGCATACGGAGGCGGACTCAGTCCTGTGAAGCTCCTCCCCCTTCCTCTTCAGAACCAGTGTAGGAGGTGGAGCTCCCTCGGAGCCACAAGTAAAATTCACCTGCTGACCTTCCACCACCTCCTCACCTGGATTCACCAACAGGAAGGTCATGGTAGGCGGAGCTACGCGAGAAAACAAGCAAGTGTCAAAACCCAATAGAGACTACAAGAAGAAGACTGAATGAGACCGGAGCTAACTCTCACCAAGAACACTGACGTCTACAGCTGCAGTTTGGTTTCCCTCTGAGTTTATGGCTTTACACTCGTATCGTCCAGCATCAGAAAGTTCGACAGCCGACAGGACAAACAGACCAGCAGGAGCAGAATGTAGAAACCTACCACCTACTGTCCAGGTGATGGTTGGCTCCGGGTTTCCCTCTGCGGAACAGCTGAGAGTCAGCGGAGAGCCCGCCATCACTTCCATGGGGCCGGATACATTCCTGAAGACCGGAGCATCTGCAGAGGAGGAAGATGAAAGGGAATCAGGATTTGGATCTGATTAGAAAAAGCAGGCTGAGCTGAGGGCCAACAGGACAGTGGACTGGAGGACACGGACAGGGGGACTCGGATTAAAACTGCATGTCTCAGAAAGACATCAGTCCATACTTACCTCAGACATCATGAGTCAGGTGAAGAAAAACGTTAAGATTTCATTTTTGGACTGAAGTGAAAAGTCACACAGTAGTTACAACTTTTGCATCAAAATGATAATGTTTTTCGTTTATGTTCTGCAAAAATAATATATCAACCACAGGATAACTAGAGTGGTATTTTACTGAAGAAATATAGTATATAAATAATTGTTTGTTGACTTCTTAACTGGTCCAAAATACATAACTTTTTTCTGGTTGAGATGCCAAAGCGGCGCAGAAGAATTCCTCACCAATATGAATATCCATTTAGGGTTAGGCATTGCATGGGCTGCTCAGTTAAGCAGTGGGTAGCACTGCTGCCTTGCAGCAAGAAGGTTCTGGGTTCGATTCCCAGGGTCTTTCTGCATGGAGTTTGCATGTTCTCCCTGAGCACGCATGGGTTCTCTCCGGGTACTCCGGCTTCCTCCCACAGTCCAAAAACATGACTGTTAGGTTAATTGGCTTCTCTAAATTCTCCTTAGGTATGAGTGTGTGTGTGAATGGTTGTTTGTCCTGTGTGTCTCTGTTGCCCTGCGATGGACTCGCAACCTGTCCAGGGTGTACCCTACTTCTCGCCCATTGACTGCTGGAGATAGGCACCGGCACCCTCGCGACCCCACTCGGGACAAGCGTGTCAGATAATGGATGGATGGATGGGTTAGGCATTGCCAGATCCTAGTAGATAGAGCTGAGAAATGGCTTCTCATAGTTACATTTACTAAGATTTAAGCCAAATGAAAGCATACAAGTGTGAAGGCTTTTGACTGTCAGTGCCAACATAAGGGGGTCAGAGGGCAGATGAGTGCGGGTTTGCCACTTAATGGTTGTGAGAGGTTACACTTGCAGCTATCACCTTTAGGGAATTAACAGTATTATGAAAAGAAAACCATGCCTCAGAAACGGCACAAAGGAGTTAGCCCTGGCATTAGTTAAACACAAACACCCATAATAAAACCTTACAACTCAAGACCCTGCTTCTGGAAATCAAACCCTAATTCTACACGTTGCGTTCTAATTCCAGACATCGACATTGATCTAATCAAATCCGTGATCAACCCAGATTGATCACGGATTAGATCAGGGGTCTTAAACCTTTACAATCCAAAGTGTTTAGTTTTGACTTCAGTCCATCTAATACATTTAGTTTAGACATGCAAATATTTCCAGACGCTTTAAAACAAACAAATAAAAATTTTAATACAACAGATATCAACCACAGATTGCTAATTTTCTCTTTTTAAAAGAGAAAAAGATAACTTATAAGTAATCGATATCTACCACAGAAAATGTGTACGTTTTAAACACAGTGCTATTTAAAATGTTATGTTTTGATGAAGAAAAAAACTTGTGAGAAGATGATAATATAGTTTCAATGGATTGTTGTTATTTTTTAGATAATGTTAAAAAAACTGACATTTTCCTACATATGATTTCTGGTTTAATTTGAGTAATTTTTTTGGGGTGGGGTTATGCGTTGTAATTAGTCAGTGGAGTAAAATACTAAAACATGCATTTGTTAGAATAGTTGTTGCTCAAGACATTATCTGGCTCTTCATCATTTTTAGCCCAAGTGATGAAGAGCCATGGTTGAGTGTCTAAAGAACCGTTTGGGGTCTGGAACCACAGATTGCAGATGATGGTATTGGGACTCGGATACAGGACCTCTGGACCCAGGCCTCTAACAGGCTGAGAAGAAATGGACAAACTTAGTCACAAACTCACAGAGGACGTTTATATGGACTGTGGTCTCTCTCGTCCTCTTCTCAGATGGCAGACCTTGAAGCTTGAGCATCACCCGGCAGGTGAGGTTCCCCCCAGAGTCCTTTTTCTGAGGCGTGTAAGTCACTGAGCTAGACCCTGACTGTGTGTTAGTGCTATTCAGAACTGTGTTTCCTTTAAGCCAGGTGAAATCAACATCTTCAGCAGGGTAGAGGTGTGGGACCTGGCAGGTGAGGGACGTCTCCACGTTATCTCTCAGGTGGTCATGACCTGTGATTACAGGGTCTGAAGGAAAGGCTGAAACCAGAAGAGGAAGGTGATTTTAGGTTCATAGCATGAAATGAGACGAGAATAATGATCTCTTGGTGTATAAACTCACAGTAAACTGAGACAGAGGTCCGGATCTCTGCCCGTTGTCCTGCACACGTGACTTTACATGCCATCTGTCCCTCGTCTTGTATTGTCACAGAGTTAAAAGTCAGAACAGAGTGGGTCCTGTTGGTGGCGGTGGACGCCAACAGAGGACGGTCGTTTACGGTAAACCAGGAAATGTCAGGTACTGCTGAACACTCCTGAACCTGGCAGACCACCTGCTGGAGCGTGCCGAGCTTAAATAGAGGCTTCCTGGGAAACACGTTGACACGGAGACCCTGAACGCACCACGATGACATCAGCAGTATCACTACAGGGGACAAAAAAATAAAAAATAAAATAGAAAAATCTTTAAACATCTGCATTGATAAACCAACTGGTCATGGATGTTTTCAGATCTTCACTGCTCTGAAGTTTTAAAGAATCTTCTGTAATATTAATTTCACATGTTGAATGGGTTCAGATTTATTGCTTTAGCTTCACTTCATTAATGTTTTATTTATCCGTTCACTGTCTACCACCTACCTGCACCTCACAGTCATTGGATCTGTGGCACAAAGTAGCACTCTGATTCGTTACCTGCACCTAGACGTCAGTTTAGGACAGCCAATGAAATCTGAGGCCAATCATTGTTCAAGCCTGGCAAGATGGAGGAAGATGATCCCCTAAGGAATGATAGAACTGTGTTTTTTTGCTGTGGATTTATCCTTTTTTTTTCTTCCTAAAGATGTCTACACAACTATTGACAAGTCACTTCTTACGTCCTTTTTCTCAAATTTTATATCAAACACCTCAAACAATGCAGAGAGGTTTCTGCCTATATCTCCTTACAGGACCTAAAAACCTATTCCCCATCAGTGAAACTGTCATCTTTGGGATTCCACAGATTCAGGCTGTTGGTGATTATGAGCCTAAAGAATGGATCTTAAAGCTTTTTTTTTGAGAGTGGAGGTTTGATGGATACATTTTGCATCCCTGCAGCTAACAGGAGCCCATTTAACTTGACAGCCAAAGGTGACTTCAGCAGTTATGTGTTTTAGAAATGCCTTTGGCTGTAATCTTCTTGCCAAAACGAATGAGAATAATTAGCAGGGTCAAAGTGTAGTAGGAAACACTGTCAATGTCACAGATGGCTCAGAAAACAGGGAATATTTAATGGGAGTTAAATGTCCTAAATTGTTAGAACGTGAGCACTAAAATGAATCAGAACTCTTATAGCAGAGTAAAAACTGTTAGCGGATTGCAACTTGGGCTTAAAGCCCAGATTTCTGCTGCGAGGCAACATTACTAACCCAATTTACCCAACACAATGACTTCTTTAAAGTAAACAGTTTAAATATGCAGAAAATAAGTACTTGTAGGAAACTATTTATAACTTTGTGTTTGCATAAATACGTTGGCATATCACTCAGAAAGAAGAGGCTAGAACATTTCTGCCTCTTTACTCCCAAGTTTCTAATTATGTTTTTATGTAATGTTAAAGTCTGAAACGATAACATGTTACACAAATTATATCAATATGATTCATGCACAATGCTATAGAGTTTAACCATAGTTTTGTCTCAATGTTGTCCAGGCTCACATCGAACCACTCTGTGAAAAAGTATTAAGATATTCTTCACTCTGCCCTCTAGTTCTGATTACTTTGCATTCCACAAGTAAAAATGTTAAACATTTTGTAAACCGAATACAAAAGAAGTCAACCCCCCCAGAAAACATCCCGAAAGCCAAGCCACTGATGAAGAAGTTAAGCCATTTTAGAAATCTTTCTGCTTGGAAGAAACACAAAGAACAAAGGCGAGGCTGAGTTTTGCACCGGACTGTATGATGAGAACCAATAGCAACAAAATAGGGGTACAGGACATTTAACAAAATGAAGCATAAATGATTCATTTTGATTTATTTTTGTCCAGAAATGACCACTTTTCCTACAACCACAGAAGATCTTTGTTATTATTCAACTACTTTGCAAAACAGTCTTTTGTTTGCAGTCAGCAGGTTAAATGTCAAACATCTGGAGCTGTTTTCCAGGAGAAACTATTTTAGTTTCTATGCTTTATTCCAACAGAAACAAAAACAGAAAATTAAAATAAAAAAATTAAAAAAACTTCTGACTGAATGAGACATAATCAGAGAAGTTAATTCATTTCAAGGTATTCTTACCCCCCAAACAGGTGATGTCTTATTTCATTGCCAATGAATCAAACTTCTTTGTTTTAATTTTTCCTGATTTCTGTCTGACCTTTAGTTCAAGAAATCGCCTAAATAGAAGCCGTCTGACAACACAAAGCAGGTTAAAGGGGATCAAGCAGCAGCATATCCTGCCCACATCTAAAGAAATAAAATAACTTTGGGACTCCAGAGAACAGCAGTCAAAACCATGATTTACTGTACATTAACAGATTTGATACATAATGCTTTACTGCTGGGACATTGTTCTGCATATGAGTTTAAAGAATTTGTTCTTAGATCTAGGAAAAGCTGTTTGACAGATTTCAGTCTGTGCATTAAAGTTGTAGTTTTTCTACCAACTGGAGACAGGATTGTGGTGTCCCTCAGAGAAGTTGTTTGGTCCCCTTCTTTTTCCTATTTTTACAAATGACTAAATACCCGATGATGCAACCAATAATAGAGTTGTAAATTTGAAACCGCAAAGTTAATTAGACATGGTTTCCAGAGGGTTGGACAATAATAGACTTGTTTTAACACAACGTCTAAATCCTGCTTCAAATTATTCATTGAGGAATGTTGTGCCATTGTCTCTCACTCTGAAAGCAAACCTCGGTTGCAGAAGTTTGACATTTTAGGTTTAAATATGGATGAACAATTAAACTGGTCTAGTCAAATTGATAAGAAAGTAGACAACTGGGTAGGGCTATTTCTGTCATTAGAAGCGGTCCCTACTTTATGTCATACTTTTCAATTAAAGAAGTCATACAACCATTAGTATTGTGTCCTTTTGATTATTGATCAGCCATATGGTCCCGTGCTCCAGAGAAACACATAAGTAAGCTTCAAATATTGCAGAGCAAAGCTGCGCAACTGACTGGAAGAGGAGGACGCCAGACATATGGGCAGGCCCAAGCAAGTAGTACAGATCTGTTGGGAATGTCTTGTGGAGCACTCGTTAAAGGATGTGCACAACTCCCGGATCCTGGAAGAGGCTGGGGACATGAGGTCTGAGTGGGCCATCGTCTCTGCCTCAACGGTAGATGCAGCTGCCTGTAGCTGTCGCCGTAAGGCCTGTGGTGCCTGCAGGGAGACAATCTCTGAACCTGGTGGTGGCAGTAAAGGCAGTAAAGGATGCTTTCAAGCTGAAGAAGGAGTTTTGTGGGACTCCTATGGCAGCAAGACATCAGGCATGCTGCTGACCAGGTGGTCAAAGAAGCGAAAACTCAGGTCTGGGAGGCCACTGGGAAAGAATATCATTTGTCCTCAAAGCAATTCTGGCAAACTTTCTGGTGTCTCCGGAGGGGAAAATAGCGCTTTTCTAACACTGTTCTCATTTGAGTGGGTAGCAGCTGACTACATAACAAGTGGGACAGTAAGGTGGGTTCCAACTATAGAGGGAATCACACTTCTCCGTATCCTTAGGAAGATCTAATTCTGGGTGCTATAGTGTCTGGCTGAATGTTGAACCTCGGCTTCAGGAGGAGCAGAGTGTTTTTGTCCTGGACATGGAACAGTGGACCAGCTTTACACACTCTGCATGGTAATAAAGGGTGCTTGGAAGTTTTCACATGAGTTCTATGGACCAGGTAAGGCACCCCTCACCCTAGTGGTGCCCTGTGTGTGGGTGCTTCAGGAGTAAGGAGCTGGGGAGCATCTACTAAGGGCCATTTCGTCTCTTTATGAACGAAACAATTGTTTTATCATTTTGGTCAATTTGGTCAATTTTGACAAATTCCTGGTGCATTTTAGACTCCAGCAGAGCTGCACTCTGTCATTGCCCCTGTTCACAGCCTTTATGGAAATAATTTGTAGCCACATCCAAGGGCCAGAAGGGATCGGATTTGACAACTTACAGATTTCGTCCCTCATTAATGTAGTGGTTCTGCTTGCTTCCTCTTGTCTGAGGCCGTGGTTCTCAAACAGAAAAAGGTGACTTGTTACCTTCTGGTTGAAGGTGACTTCCTGCCTTAAGTGGATGAATTCAAGTGTCTTTGAGTTAACAAGTGAGGGGGAAATAGAGCGGGAGATTGATAGACAGATTGGTGCAGCTGCTGCTATAATACAGACGCTGCATCAGCCTGAGTGGCAAAGAGGGAGCTGAGCGAAAATGCCAAGCTCAAGATTCATCAGTTGGTCTACATTCCTACCCTTACCTATGGTCATGTAATCTGGATCATGATCGAATATATGCAGGAATGACCTTCCTCAGCAGGTTGTCTGGGCAATCCCTTAGAGAGGGTAAGGAGCCATTCAGTCATTCGGATGAGGCTTGGTGTAAAGCCGCTTTTCCTCCACATCGAGACATCTTTTTCTGATGCCCCCTGGACGCTTCCCTTTGGGAGATGTTCCAGGCACCTTCCACTAAGAGGGGGGTCAAGGGGAGGACCCAGGAAACGCTGAAGCGCTTGCTCGGCAGCACCTCGGGCTCCCCCAGCAGAGGTGCAGGAGGTGTCAGGGGAGCCTGGGAGTCTCTACAGAGACAAATGCTCCCCGACCTGGTCCTGGTTTATGATGATGATGATGGGTAGGAGATTTTGCAGTTACTAGTATATTCTATAACACTTTCTATGTATTTATTCGGTGACGGTCCTCAGGGAGACTTAATGCTACCCTAGTGGGCTACTAATGGGGATCCTGATAACAAATAAACAACTGGAAAAATGTTGGATTGAGAAGAAACTTCCCAGAAAACGCCAATATACCACAAATACTCCAAAGAGCTTCAATGGCTCAGGCAGTTGTAGAAAAAAAGCTAAAGCTCTCAGGACTCACTACTACAGCAGAGGTCATGGTGCAATAATAAAGTTTTCCCAAATGTCTTCATATTAGATACACATATATATATTATGTAGGCAGTGGTCTTGAGTCTCTCCAAAGGAAGCTATTAAAAAAAATCGAACTTAACAGATCAGAAATTTACCATTTTTCTGACAGTCAAACATGGTGATGGAAAGAGAGGCGGCCTGAGGCTGCTTGGCTGGATCAGAACCTGGAAGATATACTGTCATTTATGGAAGCGTGAATTGTGTTCTCCACAGAAGGCCTGACCTTGAGTTTGTGACTAAGCTCCAGCACACCGGGGTTATATAGCAAAATAATGATCAAAAACACAGCAGCAAATCCACCTTTGAATGGCTAAAAAAAAAATCCACTAGAAAGTTAAAGCAGGACCTTAAAAAGCCAATTTATACACAGAAATCCTCCATCTTGCTAAATAAGAACAATTCTGCAAAGCAGAGGGGATTAGAACTCATCCAGTGATGTTAGACTCAGTGTAAGTTATACATGCACAATGGCAGGTGGACAGACCAGAGATGGAGACAACAGAGCAAGATTAACTCTGTAACCATGACTTAGAAGCAGTGTTTGTTAGTTATGTGTCCGATGTTAACAAATATGTGAACACAGAGCCCTTCGTACATTAAATCAGTGTCCATCTGTGCTGTCTCTGGGGACATGTTGCTCTGCATGTCAAACATGGTTTGCTGTTCAAACACACCTGTTTGAAATGTTTTTACTCTGTGGAGGTCTGATGTTGACTCCCTCGTTTAACTCAGCTGTGTTTGAGACAGCAAATATTGAAAACAAACAGTGCTAGACTAAAAAAACGCTGCTTTGGGGCTGTGAACATGGAGCAGTCAGAAAACCCTGATCACCGGAGACAAAAGTGGAGCCCTGTTCAAAGAAGACGCCGAATAAATTTACAAAAACATAGGACAAAACAAAAAAATACAGAGCAGAGCTAACAGTCTTTATTTCCTTTGACAAGAAATGTGGTTCAAATCCTAAAAATGCACAATACGTCTTTACCTTTCAGACTCTGATTAACGCATCAGTCATTTAGAATAAACAAAGGAACGTGTTTTCTGAACCTCTGACCCATCAGGTGATCACCTGATGATTAAAGTTCCAGATAAACTGACTGTAGAGGTAAAGCATCTGTGCTCTTTTTGATATCTAATACACATTAATCAAATGTGTATTAGAAAATCTGACCATTTTAGAAGAGCTTTTTTACGCTGTCTGTGCTGTTTTCTTATTTAAATGAATGCAGAGCAGCTGAGAGGTTTCAAAAGGCAGCGTCTAGAACCATTAAAACGCATATATGAGCTAACATCTGCTCTGGCAGGTTTTACAGACTGCTGAGTGTGAATATGAAGCAGAGAAATCCTGAATCCCACCTGAGAGGAGCTGAACAAAGCTCCAGTGGTCCTGCAGCAGGTCCATCCTCACTGTTCTCTGGAAGGATGAATGGATCGATGAAACAGCAGCAAAGCAGCGACTCCTTTGTGTTCCTGTTTCTGAATCTGAGGCAGAAAATGAGCTTGACACATGAAACACCCCCCACACCTCTGATGAAACAAAACGCCCCCCCTTGAAGCTGGCTGCATTTTATATCTGGGAGCCCAGAGCACCCTCTGCAGGACAAAATGCTGACCATGTTTTTCACTTTCATTATGCCTTTTTCTTTTCCCTGCATCCCCCCCCTGGCAGGGCCTTTGTATCTGTGTGAAGGTCGGTGGACTCATGAATATAAACATGATGAGCTTAAATCACTGAATGCAGCTTTAATCTATCTCTAACAGCACTAATTAAATCTCTTTCACATCCAAAACCACACATCCTAATGCTCAGTTAGTTTATAAGAGGAAATGAGATTAAGTGCTGTTTGTTCTATTCTAAATTTCTAGAAGAGACACTATTTAAATCAACAAATTGGTCACTTAATAAACATTCTAAGATGTGATCTTTTAAACAAAACTGGCAATACATGCAATAAAAAGCCCGACAGTTTTTCCATAATTTAATTTCTTAAAAATGTAGAAAAAAATAAAAAATCATAAATCTCTATGAACAAGATTGCCTTGAAGTCTTTGAAAGATATTTTTTCAACTCCTTTTAACTCCAGCTGAGTAGAATTATCACACTATTTAATAGATTTTAGCAGTGCTTTTAATTTTTCTGTCTACTTGTTGTAGTTTAGATGTTCCCGTCTTAAAAGTTAATTGCAAATAAGTCAACTCATCATATTTGTATGCATTATTTTGTTTGATGTAAATTGGTAATTAGTTAAAACATGATTCAATAATGAAATGGGAAAATCCGTCATTTTAAAAAACCTTGTGATTTTATTGAGCATTTCTATACATTTTCAAACCATTCAGATGGTTGACCTTCCATAAGGCATACAGATAGTTTGAAACATAAAACAAAAACTTAAATAAGTAATAACATCAACATAACGTTCAACTTTAAATGATGATTTCCGCAGGTTGTAAACTGTGCATTTAGAAAAGGTTAATTTTAGAATTAACTTTATTGGACAAGTTTGCAAAGAAGGCTTTATTGGGTCATTTTGAACTAAGAAGGTAAATAAATTTATTTCATTCATTTTTTCTTATATGTAAAATTTCTATTTCTTTGGCTTTGGGTTCTTGATCACTTGCAGGTTTTCTGGAAAATTTTTTCCAACTTGCTGGGAAAAACAAGTTTAGCATTTCAAACAGAAATGTCCAATTTGAGTTATGTATCCCTTGTAAATGAATTATATCTACATCTGTTTTGTCCTGTTAGTTTTCAGTAGATGATTTCAGCATCAAAAAAAATATTCAAGTTTTATTTATCTCACATTGGAGAAATTTACATCTGGATTTAATCCATCCCCTTGAGGAGCAGTGGGCTGCCATCATGGGGCACCCAGGGAGCAGTGTGAGGTTGTTCAGAGACCCTGGGCCTGTTTCAGAAAGGAGGTTAAGTGAAAACTCTGAGTTTGTTAACCCTGAAATGAGGGAAACTCTGGGCTTTCTGTTTCAGAAAGGGAGGTAAGTTAAACCTGAGAAAGCAGAGTAAGTCAAGCCCGTTTCTGAAAGAGAGGTAACTTATACTCAGAGTCAGTTACCATGGCAATTTACTCTGTGAACCTAACCTGGTCGGGAGCAGGTTTTCTTCAGAAAATCCAGAGTTTATTTTGGTCTCCTCCCCTTTTTTAAAGAGGAAGTGGTGTTTAAACACCTCATTGATTCTTTGGGGACATATTCATTGCACACATTTCAGTCACGTAGAGCGCATCAAAGGGAATGAAATGGCATGTCCTTTTATGGATGATCCTGTTTGTAAAGCCAGGTAGCTACTCTACTCCCATGATGTGCTCAAGGCTTACCTGCTTGAAGTATGTTTTTATATTTCATTTTCAGCTGCTGCCATGTTCTTTTGATGCCTGCAGGATTGCACCTATCCATGAAAACTAAATTAGGTTTAATAAAATACTGTTTTTCCAGTTTCACCTCTGATATTATAACAGTTGGGTAAGTTACTCTAAAATAGTTCTTAATTACTAACTACAAATTTTATCTTCAACAAGTCTAATTAGATTAATGTAATAATTACTGTCTCTAGAAAGTATTGGTCTACTTACTAATTTGTTTTACTTACTTATTAATTACTTTCTAAATCCCAAATCAACCTCAACCACTTGAACAATACGAGACAAGAAACTGCACTTCTAATGCTTTCAAATAAACAATATTCAATTGCATGAATTAATCTTAAATTGACCAAAGTGTGTAACTAGAGGGAGAAAGTTCAAATCAAAATATATCTTTTAAAATTTGATATTAAATCCACTATTGTTTTATAGTCTTTAATTTAATTACAGTATTTATATGACTTAAGTAACTTAATTCATTACACCCAACACTGTATAAAAGTAATTAAAATGTAAACTTACGCATTGACTCCAGCAGCTATTTTCACCCAAGCTAACTCTCTCTCCTTCGCCGCTGCAGCCGTGTTGCTTTTAAAAAAAATACATGTTCAAATTCTGCATATGCTTGCATAAGCACATCCAGTTCTGCTGGTGAGAAATATGCACACCTTTTTTTGTCTGACGCTGTTGCCATGGTGACTCGTAATATCTGTGCTCCATTGATAATGGCTTTTTATAGTTGTGGTGCACGTGCTTAACTCAGAGTCAGTCAATTTAGAGTTGATTGAACTAACTCATTTCAGCTGTTCTGAAACCCAAAACTCAGAGTTTCCAATCTCAGGATAAGTCAACTCAGAGTTCAAGTTTTAACTCAGAGTTGGTTGAACTTCCTTATTGAAACAGGCCCCCTGAGTGGCAGTCTGTGGGAGTGGAGCTCAGACTCAGAACCACAGGATTCCAGGCTCTATGCCCTAACCACAATCATGCAATTGAAAAAATATTTCAATTGCGTAATTTTTGCAACCTAACAAAACCAATGCTGTAGAGATTGGGGTTGTTGGGGATATCTGTAGAAATGTGTTTATAATAATGCTTACTGTGCTAAAATGCGTTTTGTGCTCCAGGTATGATATCAAGGTGTTAAAATCTCATCCAGTTGAATTAACTGGTAACAGACAGAATTACATTTTAGTTATATTATTCTATAACCTTGATATATAGGTGCTCTTATTAGGATTCCTGTATATATATATATATTTTTTATAGAAACAAAATTTCCCAGAAATCTAGGCTCATTTCTCATAGAACTGAAATGACATAGAAAGGAGCGATACAGAAATGGATGAATGGAAAGATGAACCCTATGAAGAAGTCGATGGGCAAATATATGCAAGGATGGAAACAACATAGATGGTGAATCAAGATGGATAGAATCAAATAGAAGCAGTTGACCTCTTTTTACCTTATATTAATAGAAATCTGATAGAAACTTCATTTGACTCGGATAAACAGTGACAAGATAGTCATTTTATTTCCCATTTGTAGTTATATAGAAACTCGGCTGAGAGTTAAAAGAAAAAACGACAACATATTTTTCCGACTTCCCTTTTAAGTCTCAATGTGACATAAATACAGGTTAAAAACATTCATGGATAAAACATCAACAGCTACATTTGAACATCTTCCTGTTAGAAACCAGGTTCTCCATCTTTCTAACATTACTTCAGTTTATGTTGGAAGCTCTGATCCACAGTTCTGGTTGATCACATCCAGTCAATTAGGTTCAACATAGAAATGATCCCAGCAGTGTGACAGAACCCAAACCTTCTCTGTCCTGTTAAATGAGAGACTGAGGTGGTCATAAAGGTATAGTGGAGGATGTACTTTTTCTGGGTGGATCATCCAAATAAGTGGTCCTCCTAATTGTCAATCATTCTGGTGATATGTTTTTATAAGGCCATCCTATGTGTTCATCCCGTTAGCCTTCTTTTTCTATGCATGCATACTTTCAGGAGTATATGTGTGGTGAGCTACGGTTTAAGACAGTCATTAAAGCTCATCTTTCTCGCGGTTCTTTGAAAATGGCCGAGGGTCATAAGAGAAAAGGTGTCCACGAAGTGTATGAGAAGAAAAGAAAGGCCCCTGAAGATGCAGATATATTCTTCACAGAGCTCTCTACGTAAAGCATTATGGGATTTGCTCTCACAGCGACCCACTGTGGCTACCCTACAACGGCGACTAATAAAGTTACAGACACCGCACACTAAGGGTGGAATTGCGTGACGAACAGGGAGCAAATAGTAGTGATCATTTGTCCGAATGGTAAGTTAACGGATTTAGGGGTTAGGGCGGACGTTCGGACACAGTAAGGTTGTATGAGCTCAGAGTGTGCATGAGGAGAAATGGGCTTGTGCATGCTTTCGCACGCGTTTAAAAGGCGTTCCTTCTTGGGAGCGGGTACAGGGTTGTGGATGTGCATTTCCTTTTATTAAAGTGGAGAGGTCTTTTTAAAAAATTGTTAAAATCCTCCACTATACCAATGAACAAATATTGCTTTATGTATTTTTCCTGATCAGATATACTGGAAAAAAAGGCCATTCATGTTCCGTTCTTAAACATTAACAAAAAAAACACATTTTTGTTTTGTTTTTTTAGTTTTTTTTTATGACAGCTCTTTTAGTAAACAAGATCATTAAAATATAACAGTCATGTTATAGAACATTACATGTGCTGAGTGTACTAAAGCGCCCTCTAAAGGCAGCTGCTGGTGTATCATGATAAAATATTTCAGTCTGAATGCATCAATAAAACACTTAAAAATTCTGGTCATGTCTCCAGTCTTCAAGGCAACTAAAATATATATTAAAGAGTAAATTGTGTGAAAAGTTCTACATATTTTATTGCATGTTTTAGTTTTCCAGATGTGCTGGAATATGCATAAGAAGAGAATACATTCCTTCGTACTTTTTGAGCTGGTGTCAATTTACAACCTGAGTTGTTCTGTACTCTTATCTTGCTTCATATTAAGTTCCTTACATTATAGTTGTTATATTTTACTGCTAAAAGCTGAACTTTAAAGCTTTCTTAAGGCGTCTTAACGCTCTGAATTCTCCTTCAGTCCCCTGAGTTAAGCTGTTGACAGCCTCATCTGGTCCCTTCTAC